GTATTCTTGTAGTAGTAGTAGTAGTAGTAGTAGTAGTAGTAGTAGTAGTAGTAGTAGTAGTAGTAGTAGTAGTAGTAGTAGTAGTAGTAGTAGTAGTAGTAATAGTAGTAGTAGTAGTAGTAGTAGTAGTAGTAGTAGAAGTAGTAGTTGTAGTAGTAGTAGTAGTAGTCGTAGTTGCTGTTGTTGTTGTTGTAATCGTCGTCTGATGTTGGCGTATTCGCAGTAGCAGTTTGGTGTAGCAATGGTAGCAGCAATCTGATGATGACGATACCGCTATTCATGGCAATAATATTCGACATACGATTGGTACCTTCCCCGGTGATGGAGTTCGGGCCCGCCGCTCCCCACTGCCGACCAAAACTGTGTTGGCCTGAAATTGCCATGTGGTTGGTGGGAAAGGGGGCGTAGGCTTATCATCGGGGGCGTGCGGGTATTGGCCGATGTGGGGGACCCTCCCAAGTCACCTGAACACTGATGTTGGCCAAAATGCGGCATGTATTCTCATACGCACTTGAGGGTCGTTCCTTCGGCAATTGTGCGTCGGTCTGGCCTTCTTGTCGTCGCCCGTCGCCGCCGCCCACTGGGCATCTGCGTCGGTCTGGCCGCCTTGTCGTCGCCCGCCGCCGCCGCCCATTGGGCCTGTGCGTCGGTCCGGCTGGCTTGTCGTCGCCCGTCGCCGCCCGTCGCCGCGGCAATTTGTTCACAATTTTGATTGTGCGGGCCTCCTAGATTGCACCACGTCGACTCCCATCTCTTGAAAAGATGAATCAACCATACCCCCCCTTAGGTTTATCCGTCCTCTTTTTCGTATTGCAATTTGCACGTGATTCTCCCCATCGCCCATCCGAAATTAGAATTGTAACATCCCAGCCGAACCGGTATCCGCCCCCCCCGCCATCATCAGCAAAAATATAATGCGCGCGCGTTCGTTTATCAAAAATCATCAGTTTCCAAGAGCCCCGTGCACAAACAAATGACGAAGTTCACACGCGCGCGTCGTCGCGCGCGCATGCCGAAATCCTTCGAGAACCATAGGTATCGTAAGAATTCAATTTCGAATTCTAAAAATACAAGGTTTCGCAACAGTGGTTTCCAAAAATAGCTTGCGCGCGCGCTCTTGCGATATTTCCCCCACAAAGTATCACAACAAACATAAGCCTTTCAACGTTTTCAAAACATGTTACCACCGAAAGGGGCTCGCGCGCGCATGTCGAAATCGTTCGGACGCCCTTGCGCGCGTGCCGTCGCGAGAACCCTTTGCAACAGATGGGACGAAGTGCGCGCGCGCGCTCGTCGTCGCGCGCGCATGCATAAATCCGTCACACACCATCAGCTTCGTAGCGATTTCACAACCGAGTGTCCGCAACACTCTCTTAAGATAAAATCATGGTTTCGCAACATCAGTTTTCAAAAAAAACGTGCGCTCGCGCGCTTACGATTTCTTGACAAAAACCATAGGTGTCTCAACGCGTTCATGGAATTCTGCCCAACGGGCCTTTAGCGCCGCATGCCGACATCATTCGCACGCCCTTACACGCGTGCTGGGGGGGCGCGGTCCGTATCAAATAGTACCATACGGGCCACTCTCGCGCGTCGGCCGCGCGTGCATGTCGAAGTCTTTCCAAAACCTTCATCACCGACGCGAGGACGCCGTCATCGTCGTCGGCGTGATCAGCGCTGGCGCCCGCATTGGCCGCGCCGTCGTCGTTGTCAACATCGCCACCAACATCGCTACTATCACCATCGTGTCTACCGTTGTCGACATTGCCACGATACCGCGCCAGCCCAAGTCGCCGACTCGCCGTGAAAAGCCCGCCGGGATGAGCCCAGCGATCAAAGCCAACGCGGCCGCGTCGGTCGCGCCAAAATAGCTGGCCGCTGCGCGCGCGTGCTTGGGTTGGTGCGGCCGCAAAAATGCACCAGCCAACGCCAATCGTGCATCGCAATCGCCACCGCCTGCGTTTTGCAAACCAAGATGCGGGTGGGTGGGTGGGATCCTCGCAAGAATGTGGAACGGGTCAACTCGTTTTTTTTTGGCTGGGTCGATGCGCGGGCGCCGCGCTTCCGCGCCCAACTCTGCGGGTGCCGCGGTGCGTGCGTGGCGGAGCGTGGTGTATGTTGATGGTCTCATTGCATCCCTTCGAACACTAGCGGGTCTGGGAGCGAGGGGGAGGGAGGGGGGGGAGAGGAGGAGACAGGGGAGACAAAACCAAAGACATCGGGGTGACGACGGCAATCAAGTAATGAACAGTCTCTTGGGTGTGGAGGGGGTTCGTGGTATCTACCTCTGCGAAGCGGAGAGCCGGCAGCAGAGATCCCCGAATGGCTTTCCAATGTTCAACTGCTGCTTGCTCCGCCCAATTCGCCCGGGGGCGACCTACTCTCCTGCGTGTCCACAGTCTGGGTTGCAATGTGACCGGGTCGAATGTTACCCCTTGCGCAGGATGGGAGGGTTCGGCTCGGACAATGCTTTGGTAGAGTAATAGTTTGTTCCTGGCGTGCGCTGCGCTGAATTTGATGGTGGGTTTGTATTCGATTCCTCCCTGTCGGAGCGCGTTTTCGGCCGTTTCGTAGACTCTTTCGTTCGTGCCGGCTCTGTTGACGTATGTTGTTGGACGTTTTAATATTTTGCGGAATCCTTTGCGTGAAAATGGCGTCAAGTCGATTCAATGTGCCCTGTGTGAGCTGGGCTGATTCCGATCCGTACAGGAGCTTAGATTTGATGACTGCGTCTTACACTTGCAGCTTGAATTTGGTGGGGCAGCTGCTATGTCTCCAGAACAAATCCATTGTCTTTAGAATTGCCATGCATTCCCCGATTCGTGGTTTGGACTGGCGAAGGAGATGTCTCTGGGACAGGCTTGTCACCAATGCTGTCCTCAGTGCTTCTGTGTGCGACTGAACTAGCGGGTCGCCCTAAGGATGTCAAACAGAGCATTCGACCGCAGTGCTGTCCTCCTCTTCCTCCTCACCCCAATCGTCCAAATTGGTTCCAATCCCCACGCTCCTCCTCCTCCTCCCCCTCCTTCTCCTCCACCTTCCTGCTTCTCTCCGCCGACAGCGCTGCAGCAGCCGTGGCCGCCGCCCATCGCCCTCCGCTCCGACGCCTCCTCGTCCTCGGCGTCGTCATCCGCGCAGTCCTCCGTCCTCCCCCCCCCCCGCGCAATCTTCCGCTGAGACCCGACGTTGCGACCAAAATTACAACATCGCGGAAATTCGCGACCAGAGTCCTGGACCTCATCACCGTCTTACAGCATTTTCCGGGCCAGATCGATATACAATGAATGGCCTCACGGGGCCCGAAAACTAGCGAAAACGCCTGGTGTAAAACAAGTGCAGCATCCAGATCTCTGGGTCCTTCGTTGGCCCTGGAAACAACGGATGCTCCGTTCCTTTGCCCGTTCCGGCGCCATTTGTTTCCGAGTTCCGTCGCCGTTTTTGTTGCCGGTCCGGTTCTGGATCCAACCCCGCGGAGCAGATTCTCGGTGTAGTGCAATGTCTGGTTGCCTCTCTCTGCCGCTTCCGTTTCCAAGAGACATTTCTTTCGGACGCGGTGAAGAAACGGCCGTGCCGATTCCGCGGCCAATTCCGAGTCCCCCCCTGCCCTCTCCCACCACCTTCCCCCCTCTTCCCCCATCCTCCTCCTCCTCCTCCTCCTCCTCCTCCTCCTCCTCGGGGACACGCGTCGCCTTCAGGGCAGTGTAAACCTCCCTCCTCCTCCTCCTCCTCCTCCTCCTCCTCCTCGGGGACACGCGTCGCCTTCAGGGCACTGTAAAACTCCCTCCTCCTCCTCCTCCTTCTCCTCCTCCTCCTCCTCCTCCTCGTCCCTCCGCCCTCGTCCTCCTCCTCCCCCTCCTCCTCTCCTCCTTCTCCTCCTCCTCCTCCTCGTCCTCCGCCCTCGTCCTCCTCCTCCCCCTCCTCCTCCTCCTCCTCCTCCTCCGCCCTCTCCCACCACCTTCCCCCCCTGTCCCTGCAGCAGCGGGCCACCGTGGGTCCGCCGGGCCCTCGGGGCGGCCGGCCGCCGCGCAGCACGGCGAAGGCAGAGCCGGCGGGCATGAACGAAGTCGGCGGTCCTGCGGGGTGGCCCCCACGAGAGGAGGGGGATGGGGGTGGGAGACGGAGGAGGAGGAGGAGGAGGAGGAGGAGGAGGAGGAGGAGGAAGAGGGGAGGAGGTGGAGGGAAGAGGCGGAAGAGGAGGAGGAGGAGGAGGAGAAGGAGGAGGAGGAGGAGGAGGAGGAGGAGGAGGAGAAGGGGGAAAAGGAGGAGGAGGAGGAGGAGGAGGAGCAGTGCCCTGAAGGCGACGCGTGTCCCCGAGGAGGAGGAAGGAGGAGGAGGAGGAGGTGGAGGAGGAGGAGGAGGATGGGGGAAGAGGGGGGAAGGGAAAGGGGGCGGGTGTTTGCCTTCTCCGTGCATCCGCGGCAGGCGCCGGGCGTCGGCGCTGTGGAAGGCGACGGGCAACCGTCCAGTGCGAGGGCAGCAGCAGCAGGGGGAGGGAGAGAGTAAGAGGAGAAGGAGGAGGAGGAGAACAAGGAGGAGGAGGAGGAATACAAGAACCAGAGTACACCCAAGACTCATCAACGATGCTGGAATACACCCTCCCTCCAAGTTTCCTCTTCACAAGCTCCTACAAAGACTCCTCATTTCCACTGGAGGAAATGCCCCGTTGGGGGACAACCCTGAAGCGTGCCAAAACAACGTTTCCGATACTTGAACGCGACAAGTCGACCTGACTGCTGCGTCTTGACGATCCTGAACCATGCCAGAACACCATTCCTGGGACTCCAACACCGCGAATCAACGTAGCCGTTGCGCCCTGACAAACCTCAATCGTTCCAAATCGGTGCGGTAACCATGAGAACCATTGGAACTCTTATGCATGTTTTAAACAAATGTGCGCGGCGCTCAAGCGAGAACCACACTTTGAAAAGGAACTGTTGTTAAACTGAATGTGCACGGCGCTCACGCGAGAACCACAATTTGAAAAGGAACCGCTCTCAATCCGACAACCTCCTGCAATTTGTATGACGACTGTGCGCGGCGCTCAGGCGAGAACCACAATTTGAAAAGGAACCGCTCTCAATCCGAGAAGCTCTTGCAAATTAGAAAAACGAAGGCGCACGGCGCTCAAGCGAGAACCGCATTTTGAAAACGAACCGCCTTCACTCCGTGAAACTCCTGCAATTGTTTACAACGAGTTTGCGCGGCGCTAAAGCGGAACCACATTTTGAAAGCGATCCGCTCACAAATACTTGGGAATCTTGTTCCCAGGCGACTTGAAACAGAGAGACCCGGCCAATCAGGCGCACAGGATGTCATGTGCGTGGTTGAACTATCACTTCTTCCGATCAACCTTGGAGAAGAAGAAGGTCCTAATTCGTTTGCGTCTCAAGCTGTTCGGCGCCGTGATATCCCCGACGGTTTTGTACTGCTTGCCAACGACTCCGTCGATGCCAAACCATCTGGACCAACTTGATGCCCTTCAGAGAACGATGATGCGTCGCATGGTCGGCTGGGTGCGCATGGACGACGAATCGTGGGAGGAAACTGTTAGCCGCATGAAGGGCCGTCTCAGCGCGCTGCTTTGCTCAAGTACCCCATCGCTGCTTGGAGCGAGATGCGTAATCGACGTCGGGAGAACATCCTCGTCAATCTGGACTCTGGGAGCTCGCCAAAATTATCTTGCGCAACTCACAGTGGGGAGCCGGTTCAGTCGATCGAAACACACAAAGGGCATCACCCCTACAGGGCCAGAGGAAGGCCTCGGCAACGATGGAGTGATTGATACAAGTCAGCTACACCAGCATTGATTGTGTCCCTCTCCTTTCCCCCGCCTGGAACTAGACGCATGGTGTCCACCAAGGAGCGTGTTCACGAGGCACATGTTGAACTGCTCGACGAATTACCGGATTCATTGTAGGCAATAGTGTTCAGGCTTAGAATGCAAATCGCCAGTGGGGTCGAATTCGTATGGAAAGTAACGATCTGCTGGGGTACTTGATGGGTTACTCAAATCTCCTCCAAAAGCAATGGACCAGCGCGCAGGCTACTCAGCGGCAGCACTGGTCATCCATTGTGCAAGCTCGACTACTGATAGGTCAGGCGTTGCTTCGCGAGGGTTGGCCGCGGCGGAAAATATAGAGCGAAACAGAGAATAGTGAAACTCCCAGACTTGAATACCACAGCTCCCCCTCCGCCTTTTAATCGTTCAGGGGGGGTACACAGCCGACATATGCGCCACTCGAAACATAGTTGTTCTGATATGGATATGGACACCGGCGTGCTTGTTCGTGAGCGGAATTCGGCCGTACCCCCACTAAAGGATGTGCAGCTTTGGGTGCGACATCGAAACGCACTTGCTGTCTGTAGCCTCTTTTTTGCGTAGCCGAATACCAACAAGAAACTGGATGCCCTTCGAGAGATACTTTTCCGAGACCTCTTCATGTCTGCCAGGCTGGGACGACGGAGCACACATTATGGACAAGGACATTCCAGTTGCAATGTTCCATGCAACAGTCACCACACGGCTGGCCGCGCAGGGCGCCCCCTCATGCATGTGCGAACATAACTGCGCAGACAAATATGCAGGAAGGTGGGGGGGGGGCGCGTAGCGAAGGAGGAATGGCAGCGCTTGGCGCCTGGAGGAGGAGGAGGAGGAGGAGGAGGAGGTGGAGGTAGAGGAGGAGGAAGAAAATGGCAGAGGATAGGGGCATGATTCTGGAGAAGGGAAGGAAGAAACAAGAACAGGCGGAGGGAGACTAGGAGGAAGGACGCAGGAGGAAAAATGATGCAGGAAGAGGAGCATCGGTGGAAGAGGACGAGGAGGAACCACACCTCCAGTGTGCTTTGTGCCTTTGTGCTGGCCCGTGGAGCCGCCGAGGGGAGCGGGGGGGGGGCAACTGCAAGGGCAGCGTCGACGTTCCCTCGCCGCCGGCGGCGCTGGCCGTCCCGAACACCCCACGGCAATCTGTCTCACGTGCGGAGGGTGCTGCCCGAGGCAGGTCTGAATCCCTTTCCGTACCGCGTGGGCGCCTAGCGGAGTATCAGGGCGACGGAACTGAAGACGCTTGCGCCAGGTCAGGACCTCGTGCACGGGAACCTTGTGGTGACCGACGACTTTGGCGCACTCAATAATGCAGCTGCTCCTCCTCCTCCTCCTCTTCCTCCCCCGCCTCCTCCTTCCAGCTCCCCACCGACTTAGGATGCTCATTATTACCATCCACTGAACTACATTTGTTAATAAAGGCCCGTGCACATACCGTTGTCAATGCCAAAACCCTTGCGTGTACCCCTTTTTTCCTGCTCCTCATCCTTATCATTTTCCCTCCTCCCACTCCTCCTCATCCCTCAGCTTCCTCCAACCTCCGCATTCGTGTACTTTCTCGAACCCCTTTCCCCTGCAACTACTCATTCTCCTTCTCACGCTCCACTTACTTCTTTCGTCCAAGCTCCAAAGCCCTTCGCTTCATCATGCTCCAGCTAATAACCTCATGCGATTCCACATCTTGGTCCTCCGCCTCGTCCCACTCTTTCCTTCTCCAGCCCATCATTCACTACGCACGATCTTCCTGCGTCTCCTCCCATTCCTGCATCATGACCTTACTGTCCCAGGCTCGCTCTGCTGCTGTGTTCCTCTTCGTCGTCCTGCTTTTTCTGTTCCTCCTGATGCTAATGACGGCTACTGTGCCGTCTCGTCTGCCTCTTCAACACCGTCATCCGGGGGCGGGGTGACGACGCTCATGGAGTCTTCCGTGTCCAACAAGGACGCCCCCTTCTTGCTGCCCAGGTCTTCGACGAAGACAGGCCCCACACAATCAAGCTGTCCTGAAGTTGCAGATGCGAAGCCTTCTGCAGCGGCGGAAGCCCAGGGCCGAGAGCCGAATCTTGGGGCCGAGAGACGGCGGCGGAGGGCCTGCTGACCAGCTCCGAAGACGTCGTTCGTGCACCTTCCCTTCGAACGTGGAGGTGGGACCTGGATGGGGCCGACCCCCAGGGGCCCCGAGGGGCCTGGACCCTGCCGAGGGTCGGGGCCCTAGTGGAGACGCTGGCAGGAGCGGGCCCTGAGGTCCAGGCGGGCGGCTCTGACTGCTTTGCTTCAGGCTCCCGAGGGTTCGCCCCTCGGGAGCCCATTCTGGACCGGCTCGGCCCCGTCGGGGCGGACCTCGCCTGGGTCCGAGCCCGAGGCGAGGCTTCGACGCATCGCTCGGCCGCTCTCAGTGGAGAGTCGGATGACGACGCGTCCGATTTCGATCGCTTGGCTTTATGCCCGTCCCCATGATCATCCGCACACTCTCCCCCTTCCTCTCCCTCGCGCCCTTATTCCACCTCCCTGACCCCTGTCCGGATTCCCCCTTCTCTGACCCCGCTCTACTCATCCGCCTGCTGCGCCAATGTGTTTAAAATGATAATGTGTTCATGCGCGGGGTGAAAGGACCCCGTGCAAAGTACGACATCGTGCAGCAACGGCGCCAAGCTTGAGAGCACATGCTCAGCGTGGAGATTCACGCTGGAATGCTCCGCCATTTTGCTCCGAAGGGAGAGCGCTCTGGGGCACGAGGGAAGGGGCGAGTGCTGGAAGAATCTTGGTCAAGCCTCCTCGCTGATCTCTGGATCACCTCCGCAGTGCCTTGCCTCTCTTTCATTTCTGCATTATCCTTCCTCCTCATCACCATGCCCTCTCCCGTGCCCAATCGCTTCGCTCATGCTACTCCCGTCCGCCTCCTCCTCCTCCTCCTCACCCTCTCCCTCCTCTGCCTCCTCCTCCTCCTTCCCTCCTCCTCCTCCTCCTCGTCCTCGTCCTCCTCCTCCTCCTCCTCCGCCTTATCATCAGCACATGCACACAGTTGCCACCACAATCACTCGTTTCGTGGCATCGGAGCATTCGGGCAACCCCCATTCCTCAGCTTGTAGTCTCCTCCTCCTCCTCCGCCTCCTCCTCCTCCTCCTCCTCCTCCTCCTCCTCCTCCCCCTCCTCCTCCCCTCCTCCTCCTCCTCCTCCTCCTCCTCCTCCTCCTCCCTCCTCCTCCTCCTCCTCCTCCTCCTCCTCCTCCTCCTCTCCTCCTCCTCCTCCTCCTCCTCCTCCTCCTCCTCCTCCTCCTCCTCCTCCTCCTCCTCCTCCGCCTCCTCCTCCTCCTCCTCCTCCTCCTCCTCCTCACCTCCTCCTCCTCCTCCTCCTCCTCCACCTCCTCCTCCTCCTCCTCCTCCTCCTCCTCCTCCTCCTCCTCCTCCTCCTCCTCCTCCTCCTCCTCCTCCTCCTCCTCCTCCTCCTCCTCCTCCTCCTCCTCCTCCTCCTCCTCTCCTCCTCCTCCTCCTCCTCCTCCTCCTCTCTCCTCCTCCTCCTCCTCCTCCTCCTCCTCCTCCTCCTCCTCCTCCTCCTACCTCCTCCTCCTCAAAAAACTTCTTGTCCAAAGACAGCTCCCCATCCTCCTTCCTTCATCATCCTGCCATATATCCTATATCCTATAGTCTCCACCTCATCCCCATGCTCTCCTCCTTCACAAAACCACCCCCTCCCCACCCCCTCCTCCACCACCACCTCCTCCTTCCCCTCCCCCTCGTGCGCCCCCTCCGTTCCTCCCTGTTTGGCGGGATGCAAATGGGGGGATAAGTCCAGATGGGGAGAGAGGCGCAACCGAGGTACACATTGTACCTACGCCCCACGGAGAAGGTTAAAATTTATACCGACGCCACGCAGACAAGGTACAAATTGTACTTTTGACAACGTCCGCGACAAGTGCGAGGATGTTAACCGGGGGGGAGAAGGTACGATTTGTACTTGCAACCCGAAGAGAAGGTACAAATTGTACCCCAACAAAACGGTACCGGATACTCATCCCCCCATGTCCTGATACCCCCATCGCCATCCGGCCGACCTGTCCTCCTCATCCCGCTTCCCCCTCCTTCCCCGCCCTTTCCCCGCCTCCTCCTCCCTCCGCCCGCCTCTTTATTCCACTCCCCCTCCCCCCTCCTCCTTCCCCCCACCTCGGACGACGGCGACGACCCCGAATCCACCTCCGAGGAGTTGACGACCACGACGACGGCGACGATGACGACGGCGGCGCCGCCGCCAGTCCCGAGGGGTTCGGCTGGCCCGCTGCTGGGCCGGCCTGTGTGCTTGCCGTGGCCGGCGTGGGCGGCGCCGGCGCCGGACCTCGGTACTCTACGGTCACGAACTATTGCCTACAGTCGGGGCGCTGACCTAAGGAACCCTAAATAAGGAACGAGGCCCCTTCTTCCCATAAGTTCAACCTCGATTTCCTGTGGAAAACCTCAAGAAAACCCGAGGCAAACTTTGAAACGATCAAGGAACACCAAGCCCCTCCCCAGCGAAAAGGGTACCTTCGTCAGCGCCCCGACTGTATTGCCTAGCGGATCTGGGGGAAGAAGAGAGTCACACCGCCGTTGCGGACATGAGTGAGGGGGCGGGCGCGGGGTGGGTCACGGGTGGGTCGCCGGTGGGTCGTGGGGTGGTTCGCAGTTTGGTCGCGGGTGGGTCGCGGGGCAGGTCGCGGGTGAAGGCGACGACAACAACGTAACGCAACAACCGCAATCCGCACCGCGAAACCCCACTTCAGCCACGCACCCAGGGACAGTGAATGACCGTTCGGCCCCCTCACTCCGATATACTGATATGCCGCCACTCCACGGAGCTCTACTGGGATGCGTTCTGACAAGGATTTCGAAACGGATCCAGCCGTCGTGCCGAGAAAGGTGTAGCTGTATCTAGAGTAAGAGGAAGCTGCATGAACGCACATTTTCGGAACTTCGCGCAGATTTCTTGGATCGGCGCTGAACCCCCCTCCCTGGAGCGCGGAGCGCGCCAGGAGGTGCCAGAGGCGCCGCCAGGGGGGCCCGGCGCCAAGAACTTTTGCTCAGCGAGTCAAGGCGGCATCCCCTGCGGTACGCTGTACTCTGCACGCAGATAGCGCTTCGCTCTGCCTTTCGTGGGGCAGGGGGCTGGTAGAAGCTCGTGGCGCTGACGCCTGGGAACTGGGACGTGAATGGCATGTCGTACCGAAGCGTGGTGGGCCAGAACTGGAGGCACGACATGCTCAGCCTCAATTCCCGACCGTAGGCTGGAAGGGGCCAAACGTGGGGGAAGGGGGACGATAGGTGGGGACCCGCTCGAGCAGAAATCGGTGGTACACCGCCGCCGATAGATCGACGCTAAGCTCTCAATAGTGAGTCCACACGTTCCTGGGCGGGGTGGGCTATCGGGCCCTATCCCCTTCGGACATTGCCCCTGAGGGTTGGGGGGGGGGGATGCCAGTTCGGTGGCGCTCTGAGAGGAGTGCAGGTGGCCGATTCTGGAAACCCTGAAGCCAAGAAAGGTTGGCATCTCCTGGGGACGCACGGTTTGTTCCTTTTTTTCAACGCGACTCCCATAGCCTAGGAAGTTTAGCGGGGGCTCCAACAACTACCGAGTAAACGACGCGGCGCGATCCAGGTCGATCGAAGCCCTGAAAACAAACGGCGGGCACGGGGCGCCGGCTTCCGCCGGGGGAGCCGCCCCTGCTTTGCCTCCGCGGGCTGCCGCCGCCGTCCGCCGAGGGAGAGAGACATCAACCTCTGCATCCCTCGGCTGCACGCAACAGCAACCGTGACCCCAGGCAAGAGTGGCCATCACTCGCGGCACACTCTTGTGAAACCGACTGCGCAGGAAAAGCAACGACAACATAAACCTGATCTTCAAGGATCACCACCCCTTGAAAAGAGCAACGACATCTCGGTCAAACTGGTACCCCCCCGCCTACGAAAGTTTGACAACGGTCGAAACTCGATAGACTGACCGCACGGTCTATTTCGACAAAAACTGAAAACAATGAACAAACCGAACAATTAAACTCGATACGAAGAAACATATTCATTCTGAAGGCGTAGCTTTGCAATGCAGGGGCAACTTACTCAACAACAACAACAACAACACATGTGATCTGGAAACACAATTTCGCGTTTATGTCCACTCTGCTTGAGTTTCAACGCGCGAGCACATTAATGGTTTCAAACACGCTTCTTTCGCACAACCGCCGTCGTCGTGCAACCGCCGCGCAAAATTTGACAGCGCTGCGATGCCCTGAAGGGTCGAACGGTGCCCGCCAACAAGAACCGACAACGACATCTTGGATCCGACGGTCACCCTAGCCCAGCAGCATCTGCCAGGACTGATGAGTGACCTTTGGTGCGCGGATGTTTGGGGCCGCGGGGACGCCAAGCGTGCATGCCAGGTGCTGGGAGGACCAATGTGAACCCGCACCAAAATGTCACTCTGGCGAAAGGTAACTCTCACGCGTAGCCGAATCCCTCGAAGGCGAGGCCCTCTCTGGGGGCGCCAGGAACGTCAAACACCAACTTGGGATGAAAAGCCAGTCCCGGGAAGCGTGTCCAGAGCTCGGGCCACGCCGGCGCCCGAACCCGAGGCCGGGGCCGAGCTGGAGCCGGACCGTGTCGCTGGGAACTTTGGGATAGCGTGTCGCCGCGGAGGCCCCAGCAACACCCTATGCCCTGCAAGCGGGTAGCGTCTCGCACCCGTCGCGCCGAATCGTGGCGGGCACGGACTGGCGGAGCGACACGCTATCCAAATGTCCCTGACCGTACTCCACCGTGTCCGCAGGGGCAATCCTGGCCCCCAGACCTGGAGACCGGTGCTTTCCAAAGACCAGTCTTCCATCCTGGGGCGGAGGGAAAGAAAAGGATGCGCCAAGGGTTGCCCTGGACCTTCGAGGATCGCTGGAGGGAGGCTCTGAGCCGCTCTCGAGGCTTTTGTATGCCCTCGGCCCTCTCTTGAGCAACTCGGGGTGCGGGTCTCTGGGGGTCAGGATCTGGGACAGAACTATAGCGTACCTGGCCATCGCCATCGCTTTAATCATTAATCATTAATCACCAAGCATCAATCACCAGTCATCAAGCATCAACCATCAACAATCGGTCAACACTCATCATCATCATCATCACCACCATCACCATCACCATCAACATCATCACCACCATCACCATCACAGTCACCATCACCTCCACCACCACCATCAGCAGCACCATCATCGTCATCACAATCATCCTCATCCTCATCCTCATCCAAATCCGCACCTCCACCCTCATCACCATCATCATCCTCATCACCATCATCACAATCGTCACCATCACCATCACCCTCACTATCACCCTCAACACCATCACCCTCATCACCCTCAGAATCATCATCATCACAATCATCACCATCACCATCACCCTCACTATCACCCTCAACACCATCACCCTCATCACCATCATAATCATCATCATCACAATCATCGCCATCACCATCACCACCACCATCGTCAGCATCACCACCATCACCATCACCATCATCATCATCATCATCATCACCATCATCATCATCAACATCAACATCAACATCAACCTCATCAATATCATCATTATCATCATCTTCATCATCAACATCATCAGCAAACTCATCATCGTCATCACCATCGTCATTATCGTCATCATCACCTTCATCTCAACATTATCGTTATCATCATCAACATCAGCAAACACATCATCGTCATCACCATCATCATCATCATCATCATCACCATCATTCTCGGCATCAAGATCACCTGCATCACCATCATGATCGAAACCCGGATCGTCATCACCATCACCACCATCATCATGTTCATCGCCATCATCCTCATCACCATCACCATCATGATCATCATCATCACGATCACCATCATGATCATCATCACCATCACCACCAGCATGATCACCATCATCGTTACCATCATCATCAACATCACCATCACCATCATCATCATCCGCATCCTCATTATGATTAACCTCATCATCGTCATCATCAACATCATCAGCAACCTAATCATCGTCATCACCATCATCATCATCATCATCACCATCATCACCATGAACATCACCAGCATTACCATCATGATCAACATCATAATCGTCATCACCATCATCATCATCATCACCCTCATCCTCGTCATCATCATCGTCACCATTATTATTATCATCATCATCATCATGATCATCCGCGTCCAAATTATCATCAAAATCACCATCAGCATCCTCCTCCTCCTCCTCCTCATCATCATCATTATCGTCACCACCATCATCATCATCATCCCAAATCCTCATCCTTATCCTCATCATCACCACCATCATCATCGGCATCATCATCATCACCATCGTCACCATGATCATCATAATTATTATAATCATCAACAACGCCAACATCATTATCATCATGATCATCAGCATCATCATCATCATCATCACCATCATCATCACCATCATCATCGACATCATCATCATTATCATTATCATCTTCACCTTCATCCTCATCGTCATCTTCCTCATCGTCATCATCATCACGGCTCCTCCTCCTCCTCTTAGCTTCTCTTCCCTTTAGCCTATATCCTCCATCCTACATCCTGCACCTCCACCCTCTATCCTCCTCCATCCTCCGCCCGCCATCCTTATCCTCCTCCTCCTCCTCCTCCTTTTCCTCCTCCTCCTCCTTGGCCGCAAAAGGGATAAAGGCAGATAGAACTTATGGATGCGTTCGGATGTCTCTGTAGGTTCTGGGTCGTTTCCGGAGGTCTCTGGAGGCCCCTGAACTTCACGAAAGGCTGTTCGTTCTACTTTCTACCAACCCCCCTTGCCTCGGTGGATCCCCGCGCCTTCCTCACCGCCACCCCCCAAATTCGTGACCGATCCTCCAGTCTCAGGTCGTCTCCCCGACTGCGCCTCCTCCTTAGCTTCGGGGCGTGCCCCTTGGCTCTGCCATCCCGCGGCCCCTGTGGCCCGGCACCGGCCCTCGGAGGCCCCTGCCAAGCCACGGAGGTTGCTGCCTTCGCTGCCGCCGCTCCTCCTCCTCCTCCTCCTCCTCCTCCTCCTCCGCCTCCTCCCCTCCTCCTCCTCCCCCTCCTCTTTCCCCCCTCCTCCCCTCCGCCTCCTCCTCCTCCTCCTCCTCCTCCTCCGCCTCCGCCTCCTCCTCCCTCCTCCTCCTCCTCCTCCTCCTCCTCCTCCTCCTCCTCCTCCCTCCTCCTCCTCCTCCTCCTCCTCCTCCTCTCCTCTTCCTCCTCCTCCTCCTCCTCCTCCTCCTCCGCCTCCTCCTCCTCCTCCTCCTTCTCCTCCCCCCTCCTCCTCCTCCTCCTCCTCCCTCCTCCTCCTCCGCCTCCTCCTCCTCCCCCTCCGCCTCCTCCTTCCCCCCCTCCCCCTCCTCCTCCGCCTCCTCCTCCTCCTCCTCCGCCTCCTGCGCCTCCCCCGCCGTCTCCATCCATCCGTTTTCCTTGTAGAGAACTCCTCCCCGGCGCACCCCGAGACGTGTGCCGGCGGGGCGGGCCGAGCGCAGCAGCTTCATGCACGGAAGGGCGGCTGGCTTTCAACACGCAGCTCTCCCATCGCTGAATATTAGGAGGGAGGGAGGGAGACGGAGGATTAGGGAGCGAACCGCCCCCTCCCCCTCCCCCCTCCTCCTCCTCCTCCCCTCCTCCTCCTCCTCCTCCTCCTCCTCCTCCTCCTCCTCCTCCTCCTCCTCCCTCGCTTCCCCGTTCGAGACGGCTCTCTGTCTGGTACGCAGCGAGGTGCCAAGCTGAGAGCGCGTCTGAACGGTTCGATGAGCATGTATTGCGAAACGACAACGAAGTGAAGCTTTGAGGCTGCACTCGCCATCGCTCGGACGTCCATTTCCCGTGCATTTTTCGGTTTCGTGCGTGTTTTTTGGCTCGATGGTCCAGGATGGTCCTGGATGGTTCTCGCCGAGAAGAAATGCACACGTCCGAGCGATGCCAAGTGCAGCGGCTTCATCGATGAATGACGACTGTCTTTTTCTGGAACGTAGCTCTCGCCGTAGCGCCGCGCACATTCGTCTTAAACGTTTGCAGCAGACTTAGGGGCAGAGGGCGGTTGGTTTCAAACTGTGGCTCTCGCCTGAGCGCCGCGCACATTCGTCTTAAACGTTTGCAGCAACTTCAAATATTGAGAACGGTTCCATTTCAAAATGCGGCTCTCGCCGTGGTGCTGCGCACATTCGTGCTAACAGTTTGCTACAACTTGCTATAGTTCCAAGGGCTCGTATGGTTGAACTCCCAGGAGCGATGTTCTGGCACGATTTGGGATTGCCAGGACGCATCCGTCACGTTGATTCGCGGTACTGGGAATATCAGGAGCGGTGTTTTGGTACGGTTGAAGACTGCCACGACGCAGCAATCACGCTGATTCGCTACGCTGCATTCCCCGAGAATGGTGTTTTGGCACGATTGGGTATTCTCCCACCACGGTTGTCTTCCAATGGGGCGCTTCCCGCAATGAATATAAATTATTGCAGGCCCTGTGAAGAGGGAACTTGGATGAAGGATGTCTTGCAACATCGTCGATGTGTTTTGGGTTTGCACTGGTGGTCCTCCTCCTCCTCCTCCTCCTCGTCCTCCTCCTTTCTTTTCATTATCTGCACGTCCCCTACTACCTGCATCTCCGAGCATCCTCCAGCACCCGTGGCCCCTGTCGGAGCCGGGGATCTCTGGATCTGAAGTACATCGCCAGTGCGTGCAGGACGCCCTCACTGGGGAGGGGAAGGACGAGGGGAAGGGAGAGGACGATGACGAGGGAGAGGTGGGAGGGAGTGGAGAGCAGAGGAGGGGAGGGGCAGAAGCAGGAGGACGGGGAGGGAGAGGGGAGACCACCCTCCCTCCCTCATCGCCCTGAGTCCGCTTGCGCACCCTGCCAACCCCGACATTCAGCAGCTGCCCCTTGCTCGCTAAGAGGTCGCGCAGGCGAACCTCATCCCCCCTACCCCTCCCCACCTGGCTGAGGTCTGGCCTCCCGATTCGCACTCCTCGGCTTGAGACTCGAGCACTCCTGCCCCCTGTCCCCCATCTTCCTCCGCCCAGGGCCCCCCCTCCAGGGGGAGACGGAAGAGGGGGATGAGGAGGGGGAGACCTACGAGGAGGAGGACATCCCAAAGGGGAAGGCTGGAGCAGGGGTAGGACACGAGGGGGGGGCGGGCGGGAGGGGAGGCCTCGTTCCCCCCCCCCCCCCCAACCTCTCTCCTGGTGGTGGGGCTGGTGGTGGTGATGGTGGTTGTGGTCGTGCTGCTGCTGCTAAGGCTGCTGCTGCTGCTGCTGCTGCTGCTGCTGCTGGTGCTGGTGCTGCCGCTGCTGCTGCTGCTCCTCCTCCTCCTCCTCCTCCTCCTCCTCCTCCTCCTCCTCCTCCTCCTCCTCCTCCTCCTCCCCCGCTTGGCGCCCCCCCATCTCTCCTAACCTGATCCCCGCCTGCTGGGCTTCAGGGCGGCCGGTTCCGAGGCGCCCGCTTGCCGCAGTGCTCGGCGCCGGCTTCGGCCTCGGCGCCGCCCGGGCGGGGCTACGGGGGCGACCGCGTCCCAGCGGGGCCCCGGGGGCGACCGCGGAGCCGCTCAGGGAGAGGGTGGAGGAGGGACAGGATAGGGGCAGGAGAGGGGGGGGGAAGAAGAGCGGGAGGAGGAGGATGAGAAGACGAGGGTGGATCGGGTGAAGAGAGGGGGGACGGGGAGGGGGGGGGGCGGGAGCAATGGAGGACGGGACAAGGATGGAGAGGCGGGACGAGAGGGGCGATTCGAAGGGGGGATGGGATCCTTCTCCTCATTCTTTGCCGCCGCCGCCTCCTCCTTATTCTCCTTCTCCTCCTCCTCCTCCTCCTCCTCCTCCTCCTCCTCCTCCGCTTCCTCCTCCCCCTCTCACTCCTCCTGTTCCAACCACTCCATCGTTTCCCATGTCCCCTCCAAGATCTACTTGATCTACTTCTCCGTCGCCTTCTTCTTCTCCTTTTCGGCATAGTCCCAAACCCCAGCGCACACACACAAAGACACAACGACACACAGACACACATTTACACGACACACAGACACACACAGTACAACACAGCACAACACACCGCAACACAACGCAATACAACACAGCACAGCACAGCACAGCACAGCACAGCACAGCACAGCACAGCACAACACACACACAAACAGACACATACACAAACACACACACAACACACACACACCACACACACAACTCACACACAACACACACAACACACACACACACATACACACAAACACACAACACACACAAGCACACACACAAGTTGTCTGTGTCTGGGCCGTCTGCGGCCTCCTTGATGCATGCAAGAACCTCCCAAGTGACAAACGCGACAGGCCAAGGTGGCTCCATCGTGCTCCCGTTGCAGCGCTGGCCTGCTTTCCGCGCTTCCGCTCGTTTCGAATCGTGCTCCCGCTGCAGTGCTGGCGTTGTTATTTAATCGCTTCGCTCATTCCGCCGGCCCATATTGTCGCACCGTTGTGGGCTAGCCGAGTTTTGGGGCCTCTTGGGGGCTGTTTTGGGGCCTCTTGGGGCCTCTTTTGGGCCTCTTGGGGCGTCTTGGGGGCCTCTTGGGGCCTTTTTGGGGCCTCCTGGGCGCCTTCTGGGGCGGAGGGCTCGATTTTTCAGTTCTCGGTTCCCCTCTTGAGCCCCTCTTGGGCCCGTCTTGGGGCCTCTTGGTCCGTCTTGGGCGGCACTTGGGCCGTCTTGGGGGCCCTCCTGGGCCGTTCCGGGGCCGTCTTGGGAGCCTCGTGGGACGTCTTGGAGCGGTCTTGGGGGCCTCTTGGGCCGTCTTGGAGCGTCTGGAAGCCAAAAAAGCCAGAACGCAAAAAACATAGAAAACAATGAAAATCAACGATTTTGGCCTCTTGGGGCCCTCTTCGGAGGCCTCTTGGAAGGCCCTTGGGGCGTCTTGGAGGCCTCTTGGGCTGTCTTGGGGCCCTGTTGGGCGTCTTCGGGCGATCTTTGGCCGTCTCGGGGCCCTCTTGGACCGTCTTGGAGGCTTCTTGGGGACCTCTTGGCCCGTCCTGGGGCCCTGTAACAGAACTCCGGCATCTCTGACCCGACCTTGCCGGGGACTTGCCGGGGACTTGCCGGACCTTGCCGGGGTACTTTTCGTCCGGGGACCCCCAGGGGCCGCCCCGCGCGCGCGAACTAGAAATACTGTTAACCAGGTACCGGAGATCTTAGCACGCCCTGGCCCGTTGGGCCGGCGAATTTTCAGCGCCATTCCAAGGTATGGTTTCCGGTCCTTCCAAATAGGACCCCAAAACTAGAAAATGGCCCCCCGAAGCAGCCATCGGAAGTGATTGCACATCCGGTGCCGATTCGTTAATTTCTTGGGCCGCAGAAGACCCCCCACTTTGGGGCGTCAGGCTACGCGTTAGTCTTCAACGCCATGCTCTGCCATGTGATGCTAGGCCCTGGCACGACATCCGACTGTGCGAACAGAGAAGAGATCTACGCCATGGGAAGGGATGGGAGGGAGGGGTACAATCGGGGAGTTGACCTAAGGAACCCTAAATAAGGAACAAGGCCCCTCTTTTCCATAAGTTCAAACTCGTTGTCCCATACAAAACCTAAGGGAAACCCGAGGCTAACTGTAAAACAATCAAGGAACACCGAGCCCCTCCCCAACGAAAAGCGTTCCTTCTTCAAGGCCCCGACTGTAGGACGTCAGATATGACGCGAGCGCAACTAGCTTGCCCTCCCCCCCTCCCCCCCCCCCGCCACTCCTGCTCGCTGCCCCCCCCCCCCTAGCCGCCGCTGCCCTCTCCGTCCGTCCCCGCCCTCCTCCCCTGCCCGCCCTCCTCCGGCCCTCCGCTCCCCGTCCCCTCCCCCTCGCCCCCGATCCCCCTCCCAGAGCCCCCCGTTGGCCCCCCCCTCCACCTCTCCCGCCCTGCTTCCACTGCCTTCTTCCCCCCCCTCCTCCCTCCCTCCTCCCTCCCCCTCGCCACCCTCGCCTCGCCACCCTCGCCTCCCCCCCCCCTTCCCCCCCTCCTCCCTCCCTCGCCGCCCTCGCCTCTTCGGCGGAGGAGGAGAAGGAGGGGAGGAGGAGGAGGAGGAGAAGGAGGAGAAGGAGGACGAGGAGGAGGAGGGACGAGGAAGGAGGGAGGGGGCCGGCGGGGGGATGGGGGGGGGGCTCCGCGCGCGGCCCCTGGCCCGCCGGGCCCCGACTGCGACTGGCGCCCGAGAGGCCCCCCGTTCCCCCCCCCCTCCTCCTCCTCCTCCTCCTCGCCTCCGCCTCCTCATCCCCCTCCTCCTCCTCCTCCTCCTCCTCCTCCTCCTCTCCCCCTCCCGGGCGGCCTGGAGGGAGCGGACGCCCTGGATGCAGGGGCGGAGGAGGGCCTGCGCGGCGCCGGGGTGGGTGAGGAGGGAGCATGGGGAAGAGGGGGGGGCACGGCGAACAGCGAAGAGCGGCGGGCGGGCAGGGGGAGGCGGGAGAGGAGGGCAAGAGGGGGGGGCACGCGAAGTCCAGAGGCTCCAGAGGCTCCAGAGGCTCCGAAGGGGGAAGGTGAGGGGAGGAGGAGGAGGGCGGGGGCGGAGGAGGGCCTGCGGGCGACGGGGGGTCGGGAGGAAGCAGGGGAAGAGGGGGGGCACGGCGAAGTCCACAGCGAAGAGCGGCGGGCGTGGCAGGGGGAGGCGGGAGAGGAGGGCAAGAGGGGGGGGCACGGCGAAGTCCACAGAGGCTCCAGAGGCTCCGAAGGGGGAGGGCGGGGAGGAGGAGGAGGAGGAGGAGGAGGAGGAGGAGAAGGAGGAGGTGGAGGAGGAGGAGGAGGAAGAGGAGGAGGAGGACCAGGGTAACCGCAAGACGCATCGACGATGTTACATTACTTCATCCTTCACGTAGCCTCCTCATAGGCCTCTACGCGAATGTAATTTCATTGCGGGAAATGCCCCATCAGAACACAACCGTCTGAGCATCCCCAACCGGTCCAAAACGCACTTCCTGGGACTTGAACGCGGCGAATCGATGTGAGAATTGCGTCCTGACAATGCTAAAACGTGCCACAAGACGGTTCTGGGGACTTCGACGCCACAAATCCGTGTGATTGTTGCATCCTGACGATCAAGTCGTGGCAAGACGCCGTACTTGGGACATCAGCCATACGAATCCTTGGAACTATTACAAACTTGTGCGACGAATGCGCGCGGCTCTAAGGCGAGAGCCACATTTAGAAGGAGCCAACCTCCATCTTTCAAACTGCTGCAAACTGTTAAGATAAGTGTGCGCGGCGCTGGCACGAGAACCACATTCTGAAAATCACACGCCCTCCATCCTAGAAGCTGCTGCCAACATTCGACACGAGAATGTGCGCAGCGCTCTGGCGAGAGCAGCATTTTGAAAGCCAGCCGCTCTCGATCCTTGAAACTGCTGCAATATGTTCAGACAATGCGCGCGGCGCTAACGCGAGAACTGCATGCTGAAGAGCACACGCCCTCCATCTCTGTAGGGGGAACGCAGTCTCAAACGAATCGCTCGGTCCGCTCTGCCGACACGTCTGGGGGTGCAACAGGGAAGAGTTACTTACAGGGCAGTCTTTAATACACAGGATGTTTAAAACCGTCGGGTTTTCTAATGCATGATCAATGTGTGACTAAACTTATGCATGAACTCATCGTTGTTTTTAATACTATGCCCCTGCAGTTTTAATACATGATCCGCACGCGGAGCATGTATTAAAAAACGGCACTGTATAGGGATGTGAGCCAGCGTGGACCCCAAGCAAGGATGTCTTGCAATCTATGCGGTTCAATCTCGATGGTGCAGTCCATGTAGATGGTGCAACCCATGTGCTGCAACACATATGTTGCAAAGCAGTGCAAGTCGCACCAACGCAATGCCATGCAAAAATCGCAACGCGATGCAACGTCATGCGCAGCACTGCAAAGCAATGCACAACAATGCAAAGCAACGCAGTGCAAATCTATGGAACTGACTCTGAGAGAACAAACCGTGCAGCGCCATGCACATCAAAGTGAGCTGGCGCAGAGCAGCGCGAGCACAGCACTCCATGTCCACGTGCTGCACTGCAGAGAGTGGCGCAGCGCGGTGCAGCCTGACGCAAAAAGCAGCGCAGAGCAGTGCGGAGCAACGCGGCGAGGAGCGGCGGGCGGCGACGACGCGGCGGCCGCACGGCGGCCGCACCGCCACCCCGGCGGCCCAGACTCGACAGCGGGCGCCCACGGGCCGGCGACGGCAGCCACAAAGAGGGCGGGCACGCGACGCGCCGGCCCGGACGACGGGCGGCGGCGGGGCGGCGACGAGGCGACGACGTCGCCGCCACAGACAGACGCGAAAGCCCAGGCGCCTGGCTGGCGGCGAGGCGGCGACGCGGGCGGCGACGGCGGCCACATGACCGCCAGACCGAGGCGCAGGCCCAGCTCCTCAGACCACGACGAATGAGCCCCAAGTACAAGCACTGTTCGGGTAAAAACAGAGATGGAGGAGGAGGAGGAGGAGGAGGAGGAGGAGGACGAGGAGGAGGACGAGGAGGACGAGGAGGAGGAGGACCAGTGTAAACCCAAGACTCATCAACGATATTGCAGCAACACCTCCCCCAAATTCCCTCTTCATAGACCCATGCGAGGATTAGATTTCACTGAAAGAAATGCCCCGTGAGAAAACAAACGCTCGTAAATCCTGAAGTGTGCCAGAACACATTCCTGGGATTCAACGCCCCGAATCATCGTTACTGATGCGTCTTGACGATCCGGACCCGTGCGATTTGAAACCGTCCCGCCTTCCATCCGGGGAGCTCTTGCAATTTGTTAAAACGGATGTGCGCGGCGCAAGGCGAGAACCGCATTGTGAAAACGGCCCGCCATCCATCCATGAAGCTATTGCATTATGTTGAAGAAGATCTACGCCGCGCTGGGGCGAGGACCGCATCTTGAAAACGACCCGCCCTCCACCTTTGAAGCTCTCACGAATGTCGAAGACGAGTGTGCGCGGCGCGAAGGCAAGAACCACATCTTGAAAACGATCCGCCATCCATCCGTGAAGCTGCAGATTTCAGCTTCAGGACCATACGTGGTGAGGACGTCTCTGAAGGGGCCCTGGGACACACAAATAAACACACACAAATAAACATATTCCCCATATTATCCCATATTTTCTGGGTTTTTGTCTTCCCCACCACTTCCCATATTTTCCCATATTTTCTGGGGGATCGACGATTAATTGTGTCTGTGTTTTTTGTCCCTCCTGAGTCTCAATCGAAAAGCGTGGCCCGCCCTTTCGGTTGGCCTCGGGGCGCGACAGGGAGGAGTTCGTTCTAAGAAAGCAGAGTGGAGTCGTCGGCGTCGATACCAGCAGCGCCAGAGCCAGCAGGAGGATGAAGACGGGGGAAGAGGACTCGTGCGGGATGGGGAGCTCATGTGGGCCTGCGGGGGCGGGGACTGGGATGGGGGAATCTCTCTTGGGTGCCCACGGGCGTGGGGAAAGAAGCATTGGAGGAGGAAGCGGAGGAGGAGGAGGAGGAGGAGGAGGAAACGGAGGAGGAGGAGGAGGGGGAGGAGGAGGATGGGGAGGAGGAGGAGGAGGAGGAGTGAAGACAAAGGGTTAAAGGAAGAGGAACACATCATGAATAGAATAATGATGAGGAGGATGAGGAGGAGGAGGAAGATGAGGAAACGGAGGAAGAGGAGGATGACGGACCGTGGTGGGGGGGCAGGGTGGTGGAGGATGGACGAGGCAGGAGGGGAGGAATGAGGACGAGGAGGACAAGTTCGCAAGGTCGAACGAATCAACGACCCCCGCCCATTCGCAACCTACCACCCGTCACATAAGAATCAAAATGGATGCCACAATTGGACACTGGTGCTGGAACGCGTTCTCTCCGAATGAACGGAAAGCGCTCGTGCGCGGCCCCGCTTCCAACGACTTGGCAAACAAAACAAAAAAAACGTAGACCTCGCGCACGGGCGGGAGCGGAGGCTCAGCCTTGCGCGGCGCTGCGGCGACACTGCGGCGACAACGCCATCAAGCCCTCTCTTTGGGCGGCCAGATGTCCGATGAACGCGGCGAAGACGAAGCATGCGCCGCGCCCGCACGGCACTGCCACTTCCACGCGCAAGCGGCGCGGCGCTTGGGCGAGGACAGCCCAGCCCGCTGCCGCGGCCTCTGCTACCCACTGGTCGGAAGAACTAGGTAGAAACCTGAAGCAGGAACGCGGATCAAGTAGATTGTGTTCGGGCCCGCCCAGAGAGCAACACAACGCAGCAAAAGCACATCGAATCTTGAAGTAGGAAGGCGCTTGAAGTAGATTAGGTTCTGGGAAATCAAAAAATACCTACTTTCAACAACCCAAGGGTTAGGCGATGCGGCGAGCGAAACACGCGTCGCGCCAGCGCGAGAACGCCACTTTCGGGTGACATCTGCAAGAAACTGTGGGTGCGGGTGACAGGTCGCCTCTGCGTGCGCGGCCACGCCCCCCCACGACTTGCCGAGAAGAAAAAAACTTCTGCGCCGGCCGCCGGGGCGGGAACGCGCCACAATCGAGCGCAAGCCTGGGCGATGCCGAGGCGGAAACAACAATTCCGTCGGCTCGCGCGTGGACGCACTGGCGGGCGAAAGATGTGAGCCGTACCCTAGCGGGAGCTCAACTCGTGGGGAAAATAAGCGCGACGCCGAAGCGAAAGCGACACGTCGCCCTTTCGCGCGCGATGCGCGCCCCGTCTCATTCTGACCGCGCATCTTGCAACGTTGACGCCAAAAAGTCCACGTTGAAAGGGGAAACGTCAACTTCGCAACATTCCTTCAGAGTGTAGGATGGAACCACGCGGTTGGAGGCCCTATCTGCTGGCTGAGTGGCCTAGTCGGAGTATCAACAATGCACAAGGGTAGGGGGAGTAGGGAAGGAGGATAGGAGGACGAGACATGAGTAAGGTGGCGGAAAAGGGGGAGATGGAGAAGGGAAGGTCAGAACAGGAGAAATGGGCGGAGAAAGGAGAAGAGGGCTGGCGCCGCACATCCGCTCGCCCGCGGCCAACAGGGGCTGACAACCATGTGTGGAAGGAACGCGGTTGGGGTTGAAGGCGAGGGGGGCAGGGGAGACGGTCGGTGCGGAACGGGGCGGCTTTGCAGGATGGCGGGAGCGCGAACCACCGCCGCTGACCTGAACATGTTCTATTCAGCGGGGTCAGAAGCCAAGGCTCCCCCCTCCTCCTAAACAAAATCCTAAGGGGGGGTCAAACATCAGGGACACCCCCACCAGGAGGCGCACCTGTCGCCAGCGCCCGCACCAGGCGCCGGCTTTGATAGGATGCTACTGTGGCTCGGTCCAGCTCTCTCAGAGTCCTACTAAAAGACTGTACTCCACCCTACTCTATATTACCCTAGCCCTGCTCTACTCCCCTGTCCTCTCCTCTGCTCTACCCTACTCTACCCCACCGTACTCTAACATACTCTACTCTACTCTACTCTGCTCTGCCCTGTTCTACTCTACTCTACTCTACTCTACTCGGCTCTACTCTTGTCTATTCTGCTCGACTCTACCCTACTCTACTCTACTCTACTCTAGTCTACTCTACTCTACTCTACTATTATCTACTCTACTCTTGTTTACTCTACGCTACACTTACTCGAATGTACTGTACTCTAATCTACTCTACTCTACTCTACTCTACTCTACTCTACTCTACTCTACTCCTACTCTACTCCTACTCTACTCAGCTCTGCTCTACTCTACTTCTGCCCAACTCTACTTTGTTACTTTTCTCTGCCCACTTCTACTCTACTCTACTCTGCCCTACTCTACTCTGCCCTACCGTGTCCCGCTCTACTCCTCTCGACTCTACACAATCCTACTCTTTTCTACTCGTATTGTCCACCACCCTGCCGCCGGGCACGGAGTACGCGTGTCCTCAAGCCATGGATGCACTCCTCTAAGCCTCAAGCCTCACTCCTGTGGAGTCTTGAGGGGAGCCATACCCAACCTTGCCAAATCTACCGGGGGCTTCGCGCGTCTGTCGCGTCTTCTTGACTGCCTTGTTCGGGCTCAGGGAGGGCCCCGAGATGGGCCCTCAAGTGGCTCCCAAGATGGCCCCGAGTCGCCGAACGATCGGTCCAAGACGCAAGAGATGGCCCTAAGACGGCCCAAGAAGCCTCCAAGACGCCCAAAGAGGCCTCCAAGATGCCTCCCGAAAGGGCCCCAAGAGGCAATTACCATTGACTTGCTCTTGGTGTTTGAAGGATTTGGGCGTTCTCGCCTTTTCGGCTTCCCGACGCTGCACGACGGCCCACGAAGTTCGACCGAGCGAAATTTAACCCGAGCGAAAGTAGACCCGAGCAAATTCAGACCGAGCGAGTTTACGCCCGAACGACTGTATACCGAGCGAGATGAAACGAGCGGCAGGCAACGAGCGAAACTAAACCCGAGCGAAACAGAGGTGACTCCAGGCGGCGACGGGGCATCGACCGAGAGAGTTCCAAACGATCGAAACGAAACCCGAGCGAATCTAAGTTCGAACGAATTGTCACTTCGACCGAATGCCCTCCGACCCTCTGAGCGACCTGTGGCCCGCCTGACCGGGTGCGGTGTCCCTGGCGGCAGCAGCCGGGCATCGACCGAGCGGAATGAAACCGAACGAGATGACACCCGAGCGAGCTCAAACCCGAGCGAGCTTAAACCCGAGCGAATTGAAACCGAGCGCATTTCAACCCAAGGGAACTTCAACCCGCGAGAAAACAAACCGAGCGAAATTCTGTCAAAACTATCCCAACCGTGCGACATGAAACGTGCGAGTCTAAACTCGCGAAATTATATTCGAGCGACACAAAGGTGAACCGATTCTGGACCTCCCTTGAACAACTTTGAACCTCCTGGAACAACTTTCCTTCCCGGGGGAAGGGGGGGTGTGAACCCCTCCCCCTGCCAGCAGCGGCAGACAGCGCTATTTCGGAGGATGGAAGGAATGATTGGCGGGGGGACAGGGAAGGCTGGCGAAGTGGGGAATGGACCGGGAAGGAGGGAGGGAGGAAGGGCGCAATAGGAGGAAGGCGGCGTGACGGGCTGGAAGGCACGGGGCAAGGCTTCGAGAGGGCATCCGCGGGAGACCCAACGTCATCCAAGCTTTTGTGCATCAGCCGGCCGCACACGACGACAGCGGTTATCACGAGAGATGGCGCCAATGGTGGACACGTGTGAGGACAGCCCATGGGAGCCCATCTGACAGATGATGGAGGATTTAATGTGGGCTTGTGACCAATAGATGGCCCCCCTCTCCCCGTTCGGCTCATGAATGTCGGCGGCGCTCTCAGGGGGGAAGCGAGAGGGGGCAGGCCTTCTCCGAAAGCGGCGGGGCTTCTCAGAAGCCCTCGCGCCTCCCGAGAAGCCGTCGGCGTCCCCGGAGAAGGCTCAGAAAACTTCTCGGAAGACTGGAACCTTCTGAGCCTTCTGAGAAGCCTGGCCTCCTCTGCCCTCCTCCCTGCGCGCGCCGCCGAATCACCCGTGAGATCCGACGTTACGAAACAGTTGCAACATCGAGAAAGAACTCGACCGGGTCTCTTGCGTTGCGACGGTCAACCGCCTTCCTAACGGTCGCGTGTCCGTTCTAACCACGGTCGCGGCAATGATGCGTCCCTACTAGAGCGGCAATTTGCCGCAACTGTAAAAGAATCGAACACCATGATGAAATCACGCTTGCCAGGTCTGTTCATCAATGCAGTCACAAGCCCACATGCGCATCCTCTTGCGTGAGGCCCAGAGGGCCTGATAGGATAGCACGGGACATGAAATGAGGAGTAACAGAAGCAAGTCGACGAGAAAGGGAGGAATTGTGGTGGACGGAGGGGGAGGGCAGGGAGGGCGAGGAACGTGCTGAGGGCAAGGGATCCGCAGGAGGCCCTTTGCCGCACATACTTTCGTAGATCGCCCAGTCGCGACGACGACAACGACGACGACGACGAACACGACGACGACGACGACGACGACGACGACGTCGGCGACGACGACGACGATGGGGACCAGAATACGCAATCAGAAAGTCATACTGTCGGGAGCTGTTGCTTAGCGTGACGCGGCGGTGGCGGCCTCGGTGACACGCCATGCCCTGCAAGTGGATAGCGTGTCGCTGCGCTCCGCGGGACGGGAGGCTCAGAAAAGCTCGGGACGTTGACGTTCGGGGACTGGGACGTGGATGGCGTGTCGCGCTGAAGCGTGGTGGGCCAGAACTGGCGGAGCGACACGCTGACCAAGGCTCCTGACAGCACGCGTGCGGAAACTTTTGTCGGCACTGCCTCTGGCGATGGCTCCGCTGGCTCCGCCCGCAGCCCGCTGCCAGAGTCCTCGCCCTCCTCGCCGAGCTGCCGAGACCCCTCGAGGTTGGCGCTGTCGAGCTCAGGATCCTCAGAAGGGGCACGTCTGGAATCTGCTAGCGGGTTGAGCAGGCAAACGGGCAGGTCCGAAACTTACGTCATATACGGCCAGGAACTGTAGCTTAGCGTGTCGCGGCGGCGGCCCCAACGACGCGCTATGGCCTGCAAACGGATAGTGTGCTGATCCGCCCCGCGGGCCAGGAGGAGGGGAAACGCTCGGGACGTTGACGGCTGTGGACCAAGATGCGATTAGCGTGTCGCGCCGAAACGTGGTGGGCCAGAACTGGCGGCGCGACACACTAAGCCACACTTGTGGACCGCACGTCGTATCCGAAGAGACCCCGCCGCTTCAGCAGAAACGCACTCGGCCTGGCATCAGTAGATCTGCGCGACTCTCCAAGGAGAGGGCCCGGCCCAGGGCTCACCCTGCCGAGCGCCTGACCCAGACATCCGACTTCCTGACTCTTTCGCAGCGTGCCCCCCCCCCCAGAGGCTTGGACGCTTCCTGGGGACCGGACCTTCATCCCGAGTCGTGGTTCGACGGCCCCGGTGCCCAGCACGGGCCTCCGGAGGCCGACCCTTGCCAAAGATACGAGGACGGGGCCCGTGCGCCATGCCATGTTTGGACCCCCCTCGGACGCCGCTCCCACGCGGCAGAGTGCATCGTTGTTCGGCCCTGATGGTCGGGGAGTGGCACTCCCGAACCGCCACGCCGGTCGTTGTTTTACAGACGTAGTCTTCCGACGGCGCCAGGGGGGAGGTTGTCGCCACCCCCGTTCTTTTCACACGCGCCGCTTCCCGCCAAAGAGGCGCGGGCAGCGGGCGCGTGCAGCCCCGCCCTCGGACGAAGTGTTGCGCGCTCCACTCCTCCCTGAACCCTCTCCCCTGCACCTCCTGCTGCCTTCTCAACCACTCCCCTCCCGTCCTCGCTCCTCCTCCTCCTCCTCCTCCTCCTCCTCCTCCTCCTCCTCTGGCTCCTCCTCCCCCTCCCCCTCCTCCGGCTCCTCCTCCGGGTCCGGCTCCTCCTCCTCCTCCTCCTCCTCCTCCTCCTCCTCCTCCTCCTCCTCCCCTCCTCCGCCCTGCCTCCTCCCCCTCCTCCTCACGCCCATTCCTCCCCCTCCCCTCCCCCTCCTCCTCCTTCTCCTCCTTCTCCTCCTCATCCTCCTCCTCCTCCTCCTCCTCCTCCATCTCCCTCTCCCCCCCTCAGTTTCAACCCCCTCGGCCTCCCCCCCTCCTCCCTCTTCCTCCGGCCTACCCCTCACTCCTCCTCTGGCTCGAGCGAGTCCTGCTCTGGCCGATCCTCCGGCAGCCTGAAGAACCGCCTCGCGTTCTCCCACGCAGCCTCGAGAACCTGGAAGGAAAGAAAACGAAGACCATGACCGAGACCCTTCTCGGAAACGTCGGTGCCGAGCTTGGTCATCGTCTATCTTGGTCACCGTCGATTCGTGGATCATCCTCGTGAATCGGCGACGGCCGCCATGGACCATGACCAAGATCGGCGTCGACAAAATCCCGCGACATCTTGGTCATGGCCATCGTGATTCTTGACTTGAACACCTGCCTCTCGTCGATCCGCTTCACCCGCGACAACTCCGCCGCGACCGGTAGCACGTGCACTGGGTGCGAGTAGCCCCCGCGGGAGCTGCTGATGCCCTCGATCGACGGCGGGTAGCGGGGGCCGAGGCTCTCCAGCACAAACCTCAGAGGAAGAAAAGGCACCGATACCGCTACCCTTGCCTCGTTCTCGCCTTTTTGGGCCTCCTGGGAAGCCCTCGTCCCCATCGCTGACTTCGCATCGGAATTCTGGTCAGAACGCACCTTCCGAGAGGTCCGGGGAGCAGCTGTATCGGTATATGTAGGTTTCCCCAGAACCGATCCAGAGGGACGTCGAACGCAATCTCTCCGAGCACGTCCCTCAGCTTCCCGTGCGTGAGGAGGCCGCTGAAGCCGATGACGACCCCAGGCAGATGTTTCAGCAGCGCTGCGGCACACCTGGGCCTGCCGTGGAAGGCAGACAGGAGGATCGGGTGGCCGTCCACGTGCCTGCTTTCGAGGCGCGCCTCGGAATTGTGGGCCATGCTTTCGCTGCGGTAGAATCGCCCGGCGCGTTCCCGCTCGTCTGCGTCTCGGACGCTCTCCGCTCCGAAACTGCGTCACTGCAGCGCGTGTGACTGTTGTGTGGCAGTGCCGTGCGTGACTAAAGTATACAGTGGCACTTACATCGTACACGAACAAAGGCATAACTGAAAGACAGTGGAGGGTCAGCTACAAAAACGTGGCTGTGCGACCTAATCAGAGGTGAGGGGCCCCAACCGATCTTAGGGTTGCTCAGCGGTGCGTCTTCCCTGCGCGCGCGCGGGTGGATGGATGGCTCGGCCTCTGCGGCAGTGCACCAGGGCAGCAGATGGGGGCGACACTCGGGGGCAGTGCACGGGGACAGTGCGTGGGACCAGCACGTGGGGGCACTACGCAAGACTTGGGGGCAATACCTGGGGGGGCAGTTCGTGGCCGCCGCCCCCCTCTCTCTTGTGGTCAAGTGAGGGGTGCTACGACAGTGGTTCTAAACCCAGTGCGTCAAAGGCGTCCAGACGCATGGCAGGAGAAGAAAGAGGAGAAGCAAGCAGCGCCATTCCCTCGTCCTCCTCCTCCTTCTTCTCCTCTTTGTTCGTCTTCCTCGTCCCTCCTCCTCCTCCTCCTCCTCCCTCCTCCTCCTCCTCCTCCTGATCCTCCTCCTCCTCCTCCTAATCCTCCTCCTCCTCCTCCTGTTCGTCCTCCTCCCTCCTCCTCCTCCTCCTCCTCCTCCTCCTCCCTCCAGCAACTCCTCCTTGGTAAGGCTTCTGGTTGCGCACAGACAGCCCCCCCAGTAGTAGGCCTCAAAAGGCCCATCGAAAACCACCACCTACACCTCCTCCTCCTCCTTCTCCCTCCATCCCTCCTAGCCATTCTGGCTCAAGTTTACGGTCCTGGGGAACCGACGCGCCACAATTACACATGTAGGCGCCTCCGCCGGTGAAAAAAACACAAAATGCAACCATGCAGCGTTCGAGCCAGCGGCGGGATATTGGATACTGAGGAGTGCTGAATCGTGTGAGCAGTTGCATACCATAGCCCGCGAGCAACATGCTGCCAACCCTGCGGGGTGCCACCAAACAGCCACGATTGAGTTGTTGCGAATTGTAGGCGCCAGCCTCGAGCCAACAAATCCTGCCCCCCTGGACAGACAAACGCAAACAAAAACAGCTACCTGTGACAATTATTGCCCGGGCGAACGGTCGAGGAGGAGGAGGAGGAGACAAGTGAAACCAGAAGGCGAAATATAAGAATTAACCCAACAACGTACCAACCCCTGGCCTGCCAAGCTGTTGTTGGACAGACCCGTATTGAACGGCCTCGACGGACAAACGATACATTCACAACTCGCGGTACTATATAAACCGGATTGCCACCGAGGAGCTACGCACCACATAACACCCGTGAAAGTCATCCGCTGTCACAGACGGCGGCCAGGCACAAACGCGCAATAACATCTTAGGTCAAATAATAACCCTTTTGCAGCCTTATGGCTGCCCAGCCACAGCTGGGGGAAGAAAAAACGGCCACAACCCACAAGAGGAAGAAACAGGAAGACAAGACCAACGACGACGACAAAAGATGAAGGAAAATAGCAAGACGGAGGAGGAGGAACTGCCGCGCACGCAAACTATCGGCCACTCGGCCGGGACATAGCCGACTGGGCCTTCGCACCGCGAGTCTCCTGTCACGGACTCGGTGCGTGGCCTCATCGTGACATCCATTGGCAATCCACGGCTGGATAGGCTGGTACACCTAGATAGGAGGGAGGAAAGACGGGGGGGAGGACACAGGGGAGGAGAAACGACCCGCATAGAACTGTATACTGCGAGCGGCTTCGGTTCAGCTCTGGAATATTTCGACGGGCTGGCACCCCCAAATAGGGCGACACGCTGGCGTCCACCCTCGTGGGGCGAAAACTCGTGCACAATTTCGACTGCGGCCGAATCCAGGGCAGACGCTCTGACACGATCCATCGGCCACGCGGCCAGGACAGCTACAGGCCTGCCGGCCTCGACTGACAGAGTGGCACCCCGTGCCCGGGGACGAGGGCGATAGTGGGCTCCTGCCCAACGTCTTGGGCTTTTGGCCGGCTCACATCAAGGCACTGCGACAAAGCAAAAGCGATGTGGCCCCTAGGATTGCCTGAGAGAGGCCCGGCACGGGAGAAAAGTAACACATTCCCCCCTCCCGCAAAATCGAGTCGGCGGTACTGTGGGCCACCATGACGCCCGAATTTCCGCCCACAAGAACCGAGCGGGAGAAGGAGGAAAAGAAGGGGGACAAGGCGAAAGAGAGGGAAACAAGATGCGGAAACCGTGGGCTTCCGGGCCCACGTGGCAGCCAGTGCTCGACGGAGGCGATGGTGACCGGCGGCCGCCTCGCGCACGTATTGATCGAGTGCTTCTGCTGCGTCGGCGTTGCCCCCATGACGTCTGGCACAACTTGCCGAATGGGCAGCGTAGAAGAGTAACGCTCGCTTCGCGAGCTCTGCGGCCGCGTGCTGACTGTGCGGGTGTGGAGCGCCAGAAGGTGTCGAAGCGGTCGGTGGGCGTGGTTCGTCGGAGACCAAGCTTCCGCTGGGCGAAGTCCAACAATACCGGGCACGTCGCGTAATGTCTTAGGGAATCCTGGTGGTGACCGCATCCGAAAATGCAGGCGCCGGTATCTCCAAAACGACTTCTGGTGACCCAGCCGTTGCACAGCGCGCGGAACGTGGCAAACCATACCCTGGGAGGGACATCTTGGGCAATACCGCGCAGGAGCCTGACTGCACGATCAACTCGGCGTCCAGGGAGGAGGAGGAGGAGGAGGAGGAGGAGGAGGAGGAGGAGGGGGAAGTGGTCTATGTGCCGGCGGAGCCCACGATAAATCAAGTCCCGCTCATCGGTCCCAAGGTGGAGGACGAACGTCTTCTGCCAGTTCTTCCAGTCCACGTCGTGCGGCGAGTTCCCACGAAGCAGGGCGGAGACAGTGAGGGACCTGTTCTGGGCAGCCTGCTGCAGTCTGGTGCGCGCGCGTCAGGTTCGTAAGGACGTCGGTGTCTATCCACGCGCGCCAGCTAGCCAAACGATGTATAAATGAGCTGTCGCCGACAATGCGTTCCAGCTCCCGGTGGCGACGCACGATGTCTAAGCCGCCCGGGCCCGCGTTCTCCCGCCTGACCACCCGGCACCTCGCGGCAGTAGCGATGTCGAACAAGCTAGGTAGCTCAGCCGGGAAGCCCAGCAGCCGGAGGTTGCGGAGCATGCACGGAGAGGTCCATACCCTGGGGTCCCTGAAGAGCGTTTTGCACACCTTGCGCTCGATGTCCTCCCAATCGCTTGGAAGGTTGGTTCAATTGCTGCGCGCGGAAGCAGAGGGCGGGAACGATGTAGATCCTTCATGCGAGGATGGTGTGAAAAGGGCCACATCCGACTTGCTGCCACAGCTGGGCCCGCTCCTGAAACTTGGCGACTGCCTTCGCCCAGGATCGATCTCCCCTGCCCGGTCCCATGCAACATCCAAGGTCGGTGGCGTGCCGTTGGATTGCAAAGTCGCTCCAGAGGCGTACCTGTCGGTGGAGGTCGTTCCGAACGTCAATCTCGTCTTGAAGCGTGAGGGGGGCCCGCGCTGTCTTCCCGTGGCACAGCCGCAAACCGGCAATGTCGCGGTACTCGGTGAAGATGCGCTCCAGGATGCCGGCCTCGGTGAGTGCGTTCGGGAGCACGACGGCGATGTCGCCCGTGTGTGCCCGGAGCGTGAGAAGCGGAGCCAGTCGCAGTGTACGCCGAAGGAGAACGTCCGAGACAACCGCGAAGAGAAGCGGAGAGAGGGGGCAGCCTTGGCGAACCCCGAAAGAAAGTGTACACCCGTCGTGCCGATGGCCGCCCAAAGAGACATTGCAGGTATTGTTCCGATATAATCCAGCCACGAACGTGCGCATCCAAAGCGGCCACCCTTTAGCTGCGAGGGCGTCGCGCAAGAAGTTGTGCGAGACGCTCGGGAAGGCGGCCTCGAAGTCGAAGAACACCGCGGCGGCCGCTGGTGAAGCAAATGCGTGCTCTAGCATCGCAGCCCCCACGTCAACGACGTTGGCGAGCATCGAGCGCCCGTTGATGAAGCCCCGCTGCTCGCCCGCTATCCCCGGGGCAGTCTGCGGTTCAATGCAGAGCCGGACAGCGCTGCAGATAAGCCGGTTATCAGCGTTTGTGACGTTGAGCAGCCTGGTGCTGGGCGCTTCGTAAGCCAGGATGCCGGCCTCTGTCTCGCCCGAGGGCTTCTTCGGCAGAAAGACCAGGAGGCTCGCGTTGAAGGCGTGCCAGTCCCGGTCAAGCGTCCAGCGTAGCGTCGGCGGTGAGGGCGCAGAAAGCCTCGTAAAGGACGTCGGTCCCTAAATCGCCAAGCTTGCGCCACGCCCAGAATGTAATGCCATCTGGGCCCGGGGCGCTGCTCTTTGAGAAGTGGAGGGGTTTCTTGAAATGCTCCCGGGAAGGCTTGGCGAAGGGCCGGTGCCTCGCCTCTTCTGGTGGGACGTGCTCCGCCCCCTCGCGCAACCAGCGCGCGCGCAAGTCGGCGTCGGTGTCTTGGGCCGCGAAGACCTTCGACCAGTGGTCCCGCAGGGTGGAAGCCATCGCCGACGGGTCGGTGGTCGCGTGGCTTAGCTGGTCCAAGACCGCGAAGGTCGCGCAGCTGCGGCCCAGAGCGAGGCGGTGGATCAGTCGAAAGACCCGACGGCGGCGCTTCGCGGCCGGCTCCGGTGGTAGGTCCGCTAACTCGCCGTGCATCTGGTTGAGCTCTTCGAGCGCGTGGTCACGCGCCAGGTCGAGCGCGCGCTGGCGGACAAGTCTGAGCCGCGCCTGGGGCGGGGCGGTGAAGTCGCACGGGGTGTCGACCATCGTGCGCAGGGCGGGGTAGCGGGAGATGCAAGAACTGATCGTGCTCGGAGACTGCCGCTCCGAAACCCTCCAGAATCGCATTGTCGTGCCCAGCCAGTCCTCCGTGGTCAACGTGCCTGCGACCACGTGCGCGGGCCTATCTAAGTGGGCGGCCGCAGACAGCATAGCCTCCTTGAGCAGCGGGGCTTTTTCAAAACAGATGCATAAGGTGCCCGGTCGAGCCGCTCCCCGAAGGCTAAAGCCACCTTTGACGGCCATTCGGGGTGGCCGACGATGTGGTCGGCGAGCGGCTGCAAGAACTCCGCATCGCGGCACGGCCGCGCGCGGCGGAAACTGATTGCCCTGTGGCGGGATAGCTCCTTGGGGCACCACTACAGGGCAGCACACGACATGTTGTAGTCCAGATAGAGCGTGTGCTCCTGATTGTACCCAAGGGATTGCAGAAAAGGAGGCCGTTGGACCATGACTTTCCCGCGCACATGGGCACCCTGCCCGAAACTCTATTCTCCGAAGGGTGTGGATTCGGCAGTGGCGCCCGCTGTCCACGGGCTTGGGCGCAGCACCAATGGTGTGGCACCGTGGAGCCAACTGCGGAGCGTACGTGTGCGTTGCTGCGCTCGCTGCAGGGGAACTTGCCGCTCCCCGCCGCTAGGGACCTCGCTGGTCGACGGGAATCTGGAGGCGGCCGCCCTCGCGGCCATGGACGCCTCAGCCCCTCGGCGCCGGGTGGCTATTCTCCACGCGGACGACCCCGTGTTACTCGCATCATCCCGAGTGGCCGCACGGAGGTCGCAGGATGACCTTGCGGATGGGGCCTTCGCCCGAAGAGTTCGCCTCACACGGCGGGGCGCTGGCGAGAGCGGCGGGCGGAACCGCACCGCCCCTTGTCCTCGATTTCTGCGGGGGATTCCGCTGGTCCAGCTCCATATGCCAGGGTCCCACAAGTGATTAGGGCTACAATGGCAAGGCGGTCTGCGCTTGGAGCGACTACTGGCTTCCCGCTCGGGCGCAGCATCTGCCCAGTGTGCTACTTTAGCAGGCCAGTCTCCAGTTGGCTAATCCACTTGGCCGTGGCGGCGGGGATTGTCGAAACGAAGGCTGGCTCCTTCCTCCCAGGCTCCGGTCGTGCAGTGCTCGACATTGCTTCCCGACGCACAGGCCTTTGAAGGCTTCCAGACTCGGATTTATACAGAAGTGTCTTTATCCGTGCCCATCAGGTGCCTGGAAGGACTTGGTCGCGCGCTTCCCTGCAGCTGCTCGGGCCTTGGGATGGCCAGCCTGGGAAGGCGCTCTCCCCAGGTCCAGCCTGGAAGCGTGCAGAGCCAGAGTCAGGGAGCTAATGGAGGAACGATGCCGCAGGCTCCTCAACCAGGAGCTTGCCCAGCACGCGCGACCGCTACCTTACATGTCCCTTGGTGGGGAGGTCCGGCAGGATCTACGCCGAGCCCTGTCGTCGGGCATGAGCTGGGCAGAGCTCCAGGACCAGCGACCACTCGCCCGATTGCGCCTTCGACTAGTCCGCCTCGCACGTCGGCGGGGCGAGTTCTTGTGCTCGTCGCCAGCGGGGCATCTGCTGCGGGGTCCTCACACAAAGCCCCACTTTTCACGTAGTTGCAGCGCGCGAGCGGACTGAGGCCATGCGACGGGCCTACTGGCGCGCTCGCCAAGCGGACGCCCCGCCTAATCGGGAGCGGCAAAGAGGGGGGTGTCCAAGAGGGGGGGGTGCAAATCATGACCGGCAGCATGTGCGCGGCCCAGCGGAGGGGCCAGGGACGTAATGAAATGAGAAGAGGCGCCATGAAATCTGGGGAGATATCATGGCCCGCGCCATGATATCCACCCCCCCCTAGTCATCGCCCCCCTCTTTTCCGCCCCCGACCTAAGCGGGAGGGCAGCACAAGGGCGATATTGAGCTCGCGACCTGGGGAGGCTGGCTGCGCCAGCGGCGGCCGAGCTGGCACGTGCAAATCTCTGCTCCTCCCGGGGGGGCCCGTTCTCGCTCCGCTCCCTCGGTCTCGCAGCTGCGCCGCGGGCCGAGGCGAGGCGGCTGGGAGTACGGGCGGGGGTCTCCGTGGGAGGGAGTCGCCGTTAGCACCCCCCTCCCCGGGCCGTCCCCTCTTCTCCATCGGCCAGGGCCAAGGACCAAAGGCCTAGGAGTGGTTCCTCCTCCAGGGCCAAGGAGTGGTTCCTCCTCCAGGGCCAGGGCCAGGGCCAAGGACCAAGGGCCTCCAGGGCCAAGGAGTGGCTCCTCCTCCATGGACCAAGGAAAAGCGCAGGGCCAGGCTCAGTCGGGCGTCCTTCGGTCCGCCCCCTCCTCCGGCCTTCCCCTCTTCTCCATCGCGTTCGCTTCCAGGGCCAAGGAGTGGCTCCTCCTCCATGGACCAAGGAAAAGCGCGGGGCCGGGCTCCGTCGGGCGTCCTTCGGTCCGCCCCGTGTCTGCGGGGTCGCGGCCAGTCGCCGTCCTTCGTCCCTGCTGCCCTCTGCTACGGGGGCCGTGCCCGCGGCCACACAATGCCGCCTCGCTGGGAGGACACTAACCAACCAACCAATCTCCTCCCTCCTCCCTCCTCCCTCATCCCTCCTCCCTCCTTCTTCCTCCCTCCTCCCTCCCTCCCTCCCTCCTCCACCCTTCCTTGCGGGGCGGCCCCGAAACGCAGGCTCGCGGAGTCTGGTGGCGTCCCCCAGAGCGGAGGTGAGCACCTCGGCCAGGCACCTCTCGGCCTCCTCCTGCGGGGGCAGCTGGATGACCTCGAGGGGGGGAGAGGGACATCCCTCTCTGCTGCCCCTCTTCCTCCTCCTCCTCCTCCTCCTCCTCCTCCCTCCCTCCCTCCCTCCCTCCCTCCCTCCCCCTCCCTCCCCCCCCCCCGCCCTCCCTCCCCCCCGCCCCCCTCCCTCCTTCCCTCCCTCCAGTCATCCGTCCCTCGCTCCCTGCTGCTGCTCTTCCTTCTCCTCCTCCTCCTCCTCCTCCTCCTCCTCTTCCTCTTCCTCTTCCTCTTCCTCTTCCTCCTGGACCACTCCGTGGGATAGCCCGTTCCTCTTCCTGTTCCTGTTCCTGTTCCTCCTCCTCCTTCTCCTCCTCCTCCTCCTCGCCCGGTCTGGAGCCCCTGGGCCATCGCAGACCGATCGGGCTCGAAATGTGCCGCCGAAAGATGGGATCTGGAGCTCTGGTCGAGATTTTTGGGTGTTTTTTTTCGCGACGTCGGATCTCGGTGCCCTGCTGCTCCTCCTCCTCCTCCTCCTCCTCCTCCTCCTCCTCCTCCTCCTCCTCCTCGTCCTCTTCGTCGTTCTCATCCTCCTCGTCGCCCTCTTCGTCGTCGTTCTCCTCCTCCTCCTCGTCCTCTTCGTCTTCCTCGTCCTCCTCCTTGTCCTCTTCTCCTCTTCTGATCTTCTCCTCCCCTTCTCCTTCTCATCCTCTTCCTCCTCCTCGCCCTTCTCGTCGTTCCCATCCTCGTGGGTCCTGGGGCTGGCGAAGAAGATGCCCCCTCCCCACATCTCCTCCAGGGCTTCCAGGCCTACGGTACCAGGGAGCCTCTCGGGGGCTTCCAGGAGGGGGGGAGGGGGAGCGGGAGGAGGGATCGCAGAGGAAGGGGAGAGGACAGGGGAACGGAGAGGGGCGGACAGGGGGAGGATAAGTGCAGGATGGAGGGCGCGAGGCGCGGCACGCGTGCCGGGTGCGCCATGCGCAACAGGTGCCCCAGCTGCCCCGGAGGCTCCAGGCGAGTCAAAGGCACCTGGAGCTCCAGACGCGCCGCTTGCGCAGGGTGTGCCGCGTGCTCCGGGGCTTCGCCAGGCGCGCCGCGGGCACCAGGTGCGGCAGCGCGCGCGGCGGCACGCAGCGGGGAATAACTGTGCGGACACCCACGCCGTGCCTGGCAGAGGCCATGCACAGTGACGGCTGGGTGGTCCGCACGGTGCATGGCCTGCGTGCCCGCAGTCACTGTGCGCGCACGGGCTTTCCATAATGATGGCGGGCCAGCGAGCAGCGAGGAGCGTGCCCGAGCCCCCTCGACGCCCCATCAAGAGCCGATGCACAGTGTCGTGGCGGGAGCGCCCTGGAGGGGGGGGGGGAAAGGAGAGAGGCGAGAGGAGGGAGGAGGTAGCATGGCATGGAGCATCACGAGAGGAGAATATACCCTGAGACCCGACGTTGTGAACATAATGCAGCATCGTGAAACATCTCGACAAGACGGAGCCCCAGACCCCATTTTTCAACTGGACTTTTCGAGCCGGATCGCTGTGCCCGGTGTGACAAATATGCATCGCCGGGATCTCAGGGCAGCAGGAGACGATGAACAGGCCACAGGAGCACGTGCCACGCGGGACGTCGGGGCCCCCCACCCAGACACGTCATGTCTTAACTTTCCAACGCAGGCCCCCCCACAAACCCCGAGCCTCTGCCCAGGGCCAGCATCTCATTCCGAATGTGATTGTGTGGCGGTGCCGGGGGCACGGCGAAGGCCCCTGAGAGGCCGAAGCTCATAGCATCTGTTACCGAACACTTTCGGCAACACTGCGGACGAACCGATCGCGACCAGAACTCGGCCTCCAGCCGCAAGTTCTGGTCATGAGCGAGCCGTCGGCGGCCTCGAAACCCTCGCGTGGACCCCGACGCGCCGCCTCTCCGTTGCCGAAATTCGACCCCTCCGGCCGTGACCGAAGAGCGGCGCCCCCGGCATCCGTTACCGAACACCTTCGGGCACGGGTGCTGTGGGCAACGGCCAGAACACCTCGCAGTGATCTTGTCGCGACGCGAACATTCGAAGATCTGCTGGCCCGGGTCAACCCAGACCCGGGCCAGTCGGGCCTTGCAAGATCCTGCCGGATCCTGCCGGATCCTGCACCCAGGATCCTGCAAGATCTGGCGCTCTGGCTGACCGCCGTTTGCACTGACCTTGACCCCCGTCTCTCGAGGCCCGGCGAAACAAGTGGCACTTGTGCCCTGGCTCCTGCACCAAGGAGCTGCGAAGGACAAGAGGCCTTCGCCTCCCTCCTCCAGGAGTTTCCTTCTCTGGCCAGGGGGGAAGACGAACGACGAACGAGCGAACGACGACGACGAACGAACATGAAGAGGTCCGAGCTCTAGAACACAGCTGTGCAAGAGTTGAAGGTCGCTGGGGGGGGGCAGCGTTGTTTCCAGGGCCAGATCCCCGTACGCTCGGCGGGCGCGCTTGATCGGTCAACAGCAATCCTTCCAGCCGCCCTTCGCGAGAAGCTCTGATTTCAGGTTTGCTCTTGCCGACGATTGGGCTGCTCATGCTTGCTCTTGCCCTACAAAAGCATTGCCCTCTCCCCCGTCGCCCCAGAAACACAGATCGCGTTCGCTGCCCCTCAGCGAGCTTCAATGCAAGAGAATCAAACATGCACACGTCCGAAGCGATGCCCAGACGTGCGCCGATCCTGGCCGAGGGCCCCTCTTTGGGGCCCAGGGCTGGCGTGGCGGCCCTCCCCCTGGCCTGGCCCCTGGGCGGGGTCCCGGGCAGCAGGGAGGGGCCCTCGGCCAGGCTCGGCGCACGTGCGACGACGACAGCGACGACGACGACGACGACGACGACGACGACGACGACGACGACGACGACGACGACGACGACGACGACGACGACGTAGGACGACGACGGCCGACGACGACGACGCATGTGCGCGAAGCATGTCTGGGCGCGTTGCGCCGGCCCTGCGGCCAGCGGGAGGCCGAGCTCCCTGGCGAGGCCGATCTGGCGCTCCAGCACGCCCACCTGCGCCTCCAGCCTCCTGCGGGCGTGGTCCGCGCGCGCGGCCTCGAACTCCGCGAGCCTGGGGGGGCCGAAGAGAAGCCGCCGAGACAGCGCCGACCCCCCGGACCTCTCCGGGGGTGCGCTCCGACAAGGATCTCGGGGCGGATCTAGCCGTGGCGACCAGGGAGGGGTGGGGGTCTCTAGAAGAAGGCGGAGAGGAAGAAAAACAAACGGCGTAAGCATAAACTTTCGGAGCTCCGCGCGGACCTCTCGGATCGGCGCTGAAGCCCCCCTCCCTGGCGCGCAGAGCGCGCCAGGCCTCCGGACGGCGCAGATCAGAGACATCCGACCGGATCTCCGAAAACATACATATACCTATACATACATGCAGATGTACATACCTATATATGCATATATATAAATGCATGTGCATATGTATATGTATATGTATATGTAGATGGATATGTATATGTATATGTATAGGTATATGTTTACATACATACATATATACATACATGCATGCATACATATATACATACATACATACATACATACATACAAACAGACAGTCAGTCAGTCAGACAGTCAGACAGACATACACATCTATACATATATTGATGTACATGCATGTAAGTATATGTAAGTGCATATGCTTACGCAACGGCCCGCCATAGCGGGTAAGAGTTAAGGGGGCGGGCGCTGGTCCGGTCGCGGGTTGGGCCGCGGCTGGGTCGCGGGGTGGGTCGCGGGGTGGGTCGCGGGTGGGTCGCGGGGGAGATGACGACAACACCACCAAGCAGAATCCAGGCCCCCGAATCCCACTTCACCCACGCATCCAGGGATGAAGTAAAACCATTCGGGCCCCTCCGGACAGTCAACGCGTATCAGAAAGATGCACGGTAAGTACGCAAGGGCCTTCGAAGGCCTTCTGTCGACAGTTTTGGAGCGGGGCGCGGCCAGCGAACGTGGCCAAGGATGGGCCGAAGGAGACGGAGGCAAGGGTAACCTTGGGAAGTCGCTCATCCTCATCATCCTCTTTCCCCTTCCTCCGAGAGCCGGCGGTCCCCGTGCCTCAGGATCCACTCCTCTGGCGAGAGCCCAGCGCCGCCTGGCTCGCCCACTTGCCGCCCCCCCACCGAAGGCGAAAGGACGATCAAGCCTGCAGTGCAGACGCGGCCGCAAGAAGCCTTTGCGAGAAATCTGGCCCTGAAGACCCTCGCGCGGGCGGAGCGAAGAGGCCCGGGGCACCCTGACGAAAAGAAAAGCACGTGGTCTCCTCGCGCGCGCCCTCCCACTGCAGACGGATGCTCACGTGTCTGATGCCCCAAGCGCAGGTGGCTTTCGCCCTCAATGGGGCCCTTCAGCCTACGGCTGGCGTGTGAAGGACAGCGTGCAACATCCATCTCCGAAAAGCACGCTATCCTCGGGTCGGGCGAAAAGGGGGGATAGCAAAGGGGGGGGTTGAGAATCAGCTCACGTAGCTGATTTTCCTGGCGCCTTCCGGCGCCAGAGGCGCTTACGTATCGAGGAATGGGCCCCTCGGTGGGGCCGGAACCAGCTGCACGCAGCTAATTTCGTAAGTACCCCCCCCCCCTTTCCCAATCCCCCCCTTTTTCGTCCGGCCCGAAGGCTATCCCTGGGAAGCGTCCCCCCTCTCCCCCGCGATGGGCCCCTCCCGTGCACGCCATCCCTCGGCCAGGGCCTCTTCGGTGAAAACGCTCTCCGCGGCGCCACGCGGCACGCCACCCTCCCGCCCCCCTGTGTAAACGTCGGGTGTTGCTAGAAGTGCCCCGGGGCCAAGGTGCCCCCCGGAATCTCGGGGCAGCCCCAACGGCTTCCAAGGCACCTCTCACGAGGCCCCAGAGGGCCCCAGCGGCTCCAAAATGAAGCGAACAGCTGCCTTGGGCCAGGGGTACCCATCGGTCGGAAGAAGTAGGCAGAAACACGAAGTAGGAAGGCGTTGGAAATAGATTGGGTTTCCGCCCTCCTCCTGAAGAGGAGGCAAGAGGGAAAACCACTCGACTCTTGAAGTAGGAAGGCGCTGAAAGTAGATTGGAATCTGGGAGTCCAAAAATACCTACTTTCAACGACCGATGGGCACTCCTAGCCACACCCGAAAACGGCACCGGCGCGGCCGGCGGCGGAGGAGGGCCGCTCGTACGCGCGAGCGCTCTCTCCGCCTGCGGGGGCCCGCCTTCTCCGGCGAGCGCCCCCGCGCGCCCCCCTGGCTCGCGGGGCTGCCGCAGGCTAAGAGGGCTTTGCCTCCTCCTCCTCCACCTCCTCCTCCTCCACCTCCTCCTCCTCCTCCTCCTCCTCATCCTCCTCCTCATCCTCGTCCTCCCTCCTCCCTCCTCCCTCCTCCTCCTCCTCCTCCTCCTCCTCCTCCTCCTCCTCCTCCTCCTCCTCCTCCTCCTCCTCCTCGCGGGGCTGCTGCAGGCAGGATCGCCCAGCATCCAATCGATAAGTCGAATCGGCGATCGACATTAATCGGATCGGCGCAAATCGGTAGCCGAGTCGGGAGGAGTCGAACCGGCGAACATCGGCAGAGTAGTGTAATGTCCCACTGAGAAGTCGGGATCCAAAATCGGATCGAATCGGAATCGGAATCCATCGCAATCGAATCGAATCGAATCGGAGGAATCGAAACGAGCCCTGCTGCAGGCGAGCGACGCGCGGGCGGGAGCGAGGCGGCGGGAGCGAGGCGGCGTGCGTGCGGGAGCAGGCGGAGGGCGGCGCCCACAAGTCGACGGTCGGCGCTCGATCCATGCCCCTGCTGCTGCCCCTCCCTCTGGGCTCCAGGGGGAGAGCAGGGCCTGGGAACTAACAGCGTGGTCTCGGAGGCAGGGTCTTTTTCTATACATCCCCGCTCTGGCTCCTCGTGTAAGAGGCCCCGAGCGAAGTGAACCCCACCTCCCCCCTTAGACATCGTGGGGTGGTGAGGTAGGGTTCGCATGTGACCTCCTATCGTGGGGTCGGGGCGCGAATAGGGGCATGGATAGAGCGTCGATGGCCTAACAAAGGGGATGGCGCGAAGGGGGTGGCCTACTGAGAAAGCGGAGAAAACAATTTCCTGGGAGCTTCCAGGGCCTTCTTACAAGGACAGGAGGCTTCTCTAGAAAAGCGCGTTCCACTACTCGCCAAGGAACTACTGGCAAATGGTCTGCATCCGCCGCGGGGGATTTACGATCCACCTACATAGAGGGGTGCATTTTTCGAACGTTTGCGAGTCGGCACTTTGCGAGAAGAGGAACGCGATCGGTGACTCTCAGAAGCCACGCGGGCTTCTGAGAAGCCCCCTGTGCCTTCCTAGAAGCTCCGCCGCCTTGTCAGAAGACCGTCTCCCTGACGCCACCCCCTGGTGGGCGTCGCCATGGTGGGCGGCACGACCAGAGAGCTGGCGGAAGCGCGGTGGCGGCACAGAGGAGGAGGAGGAGGAGAAGGAGCAGCAGCAGCAGCAGCAGGAGGAGGAGCAGGAAAAAGAGGAGGACAAACTGCAGCACACATGCACCACCCAACACACTGACCTCCCAATTCACCACACATGCAGCACAACCGCAGCACTACGCCGCACTGTCTCTGGCAGAACCTCCACGACAGCCACGTACGCAAGACACAGCCTCATACCCTGCATGGGAGCCCTGAGGGGCATACATAGGGGAGAGGCATTGGATACTGGCGCCATGGTCGAGGCCCAGCTCAGGCACTTACTTTGTCACCGCTCCCTGGGTCGGCTAGTCAGTATAATCGTACGATATTACTCTGTATCGTATCACTCTTCAGATACTATGTTATGATAGACGTCTTCTAATTGCCCAGGAGGCATTAGTTGACCCGTTTCGGGCAAGTACTTTACGCCAACATACCATGGGACAGACTAAGTGTCTCACACGCCTAAGCGGAAACGTACACATGCCAGTAAGTTGCCCTCCCACTTATTTCGCATGACCCATCACCTCGTTATTTTTCATTATTGCCCAGGCCACTCAGCTAGCACATGCTCTCACATTGTCTGTCACAGTAGTCTACGTGAGCAGTCTGCCCACGTAAGAATACTGGCAACACAGAATGCACTTTACAGAAACAGCTTGTACTTACCTCGGTTCCTCCCTCTGGCTGCTGGTTGTATCATTCTGTAATAAGCTGATTCTACCAGATGATCCAGGCCCAATGCTGAATTTACACAGCCGCAACACCACTCCTCCTACCCGTGTTCGCTTTACGTCCCCTTGTTTGTTCAGAGATCCTACTGTCCTGCGTAATGTAGATGCAAAGGTTAAGGGTCAGCCAGAAAACCCATAACCACAGATAAGGCACGTCTTTCATACTCAATAGGCCAGCCTAAACCTGCCAGCCTTGCGACACCTTATCACACGACTAGACAAGTTTGACAAACAAGGTTCGTGCTACGCCCGAGAAGAACCGTACAACAAGCACGAGGGTCCTTGTACCGAGGAGGTCCGGGGTACGCCCAAACATGATCGACCCACGAACCCGGAAAGGAATATAGAAATATAACGCGTGGCAGCGTTTTCAAAGACATCTGATTGGATGACGGGCAAATGCAATGCTGAATGTATCGATCTTGATGTACCCTGCCGAGGGCTGTGCTGTGCTGCACCGTGCTGAATTTCGATGTGCCATGCCGCGATTGTGCTCTATAGCATTGTGGATCGAATTCTCCTTTGCATCCGAGTCCTGACCGAACTGATCTGGATCCTAAGCTCGAGCTGCCTGAACACATAGTAGCTGCCCCAGAGCTAATTGACAAGGGGGCATGCCAGGAGGACGCGCCGCGAAACGTCCCAAGGGAAGCGCCAGGCGACGTGCCAGGGGACGTGCCATGGTGTCGCACCGCGGGACGTGCCAAGGGGACGCGCTACGGAACGTGCCAATGGATGTGCCACGGGATGTGCCAGGGGACGCGCCACGCGACGTGCCAGGGTGACTCGCCAAGGGACGCCCCACGGAACGTGCCAAGGAACGTGCTCCAAAATCACGCTGCGCCCCCGCCCCAGCTGTCACGACCTCTCATCAATTACGCTGCGTCTGCATTCCTAGGGCCACGAACCTTAACGATTCACACTGCGCCCGCGCTCCAAGGGCCCTGATCCCTCGTAGATTACACTGGGGTCGCGCTCCCAGGGCCCCGACCCATCGTAAATTACGCTGCGCCCGCACTCCAAGGGCCACGATCCCAAGTAATTTACGCTGCGTCCGCGCTCCCACGACCACGATCCTTTGCACATTACGCAGGGTCCGCGCTCCCACTGCCGCGATCCCTCGTAAGCTACACTGGGGTCGCGCTCCCAGGGCCACGATCCCTCGTAAATTACGCTGCGTCCGCGCTCCCAGGGCCACGATCCGTCGTGAATTACATTGGGGTCGCGCTCCCAGGGCCCCGACCCCTTGTAAATTACGCTGCGTCCGCGCTCCCAGTGCCAATTACGCTGCGTCCGAGCCCCCAGGGCCCCGATCCCTCGTATTTTATGCTGCGCGCGCGCTCCCAGGGCCACGATCCATCGTAAATCACGCTGCGTCCGAGCTCCCAAGGCCCCGACCTCTTGTAAATTACGCTGCGCCCGCGCTCCGAGGGCCACGATCCCTCGCAAATTATTCGTGGTCCGGGCTCCAAACGCCACGATCGCATCTAGATTACGCCACGACCGCGCTCCCAGGGCCTCCTGACATCCTGTATTTTTTGGCGCGGGGGGCGCACCATCCTCGAGCGAGCACGCAACAACTCCTGTGTGGCCAAGGAAATCTTGGAACAAACAAGCGAATTAGTCGAGACATCCTCTACATTCCTGCGCGCGGGACGCAGCACGCGCGAGACATCCTCGGAATTCCTGCGCGCGGGGCGCTTTTCCGCGTCGCGGTCGGGGCTCCAGACCTAGTTTGTGCTGTCGAAGATTATGCTAAAAGTGCCCCGCACCCCTTTTTTACAAAGGAAAACGGTGGTCCGCGGACCCCGTTATTCATCGAGGATCCGATGTGGGGGGTCGACTTTCCTCGAGCGGGCACGCGCGAAACGCATTTTTTCACGCCGAAATAGACTTTCCCTTGTTTTTTTATCGAGCGGAAATCCGCCTGCCCTCTTCCGGGGGGGAATCAACCAACTACAAGAGAACCCTGGGACTGCGCCCTTTCCGGGAAGAACCCTGGGCTGCAACCCTAGAACTGCCACGCTATGCTGTTTCTCTGATTGATGCCGGACGCAGCAGCTCACTTGACGCACCCCTCACTTTTCCTCATCGTCATTCATGGCTCCGAGCCATAAGGCCAGCCAGCATTGCCTGAGCCAGCCTTACAAAGCATGACCTGCCTACTCGGATTGCTTGATTGCGATGGTGGGCTGGTGGAGCTCACGGAATGGGAGGTGGGGTGGACGAGGGAAGATCGTACGCACTTCGCCTGCCACAGAGGGACGGTCGCTTACTCTGCGACACGTCCTGCATCGCATCTTTATCCTTGCCATCCGAGGCGGCACTGCCATTCAAAAGACATTGGTCGCTCTTACTTACTGAAGGTACCTATCTCTAAGGTCAGTGCCGACCTCAAGGACCTGGCGGGCGCCTGCCCTTTTACTCGTCTTTTCCGTGTGTTTACTTAGTTAGACGAGGAGGAGGCGGAGAGAGCAGATGGGCCAGGGCAGCTTGGCAGGCCGGGGGGGTGGCGGCGCACCAGGGTCAGCCAAGCGCTGGTGGCCCACTGTCGCTCCTGGGCCCCCGAGAGGCTCTCAATGTTCGGGGACAGCGGGGCCGCTTGTGAGACAGGTGGCGCCAGAATCAGACCAGGGCCAGTGGCGCACTAGCGCGCTGCCCCGCCACACGCCACACGCACACGCACGCGCACACGCACGCGCACACGAACACACTTTTTTGTGTCAGCAGCCGCGAGCGAAAGCGCACACGGCGAGTCGAAAAAACGCACACGAACACACGCAAACACACAAGTTCAAACACACGGGGGGCAGGGGCTCGAGGCGGAGCCTCCCTCCGGCGAGTGCGCGGTCGCCTGCCGTCGCTTCTGGATGGGAGGAGGGGGAGGAGAGGGAGGAGGAGGAGGAGGAGGAGGAGGAGGAGGAGGAGGAGGAGGAGGAGGAGGAGGAGGAGGAGAAGGAGGAGGAGGAGGAGGAGGAGGAGGAGGGGGAGGGGGAGGAGGAGGGAGGAGGAGGAGGAAGAGGAGGAGGTGGCGGTCGCGGCCTCGCGCGCAGTGTCGAGGTGGAGAAAGGTCCGATCCGGCTCGCGCGCGCGGCCGGGCCCTCAGGGGACTCTCCGGCGATGCAGCACGCACATAGGCACACACACGCGCGCGCACGTTTTGGCGGTCGCGGCCTCGCGCGCGGCGGCGAGGCGGAGTGAGTCAAACAGTGGTAAGTGGCGCGCGCGGCCAGGCACACACACAACCACACACACACACACACGTGTGGTGACACACGCACACGCACGCGCACACGCTCACACGCGCGCACGCGCACGCGCACGCGCACGCACACGCACACACACAAACAGACATACAGACACACAGACACACAGACACACACACACAACATAACACAACACAGCACAGCACAACACAGCACAGTACAGCACATGACGACATAACACAACATAACATAACACAACACACATAACGCCACACACAGCACACCACAGCATACCACACCACGCCCAACATGTGTTTTCATACTACACCACACCACACCACACCACACCACACCACACAACACAGCACAGCACAACACACACAAAACAAACAAGCACTCCCAACATTGTATGGTGAATGCGGCAGCCGGGGGCGGTGGCGCGCCAGCGTGCCTCTCATTAAACATTCTATCGCTCAGGTGAACATTTTTCAAATGACACCCAATCGTTGGAGATACCTTGAGGGCAAGCATTGCGGGGGGGAATGGGATTCTCAAGGGCCCCGACCCTGAGCTTACCGAAATTCCCAGGGGCTCCTGGGCGCTCTTGGGGAGTGCCGCATGAGTCTTCTGGAAGCTGAGCCCGCCCCAAACCACCCCATGATCTACCACACGTCGCCCCATGCGCCCGAAAATGTACAGGGTGCCCTCGGGAGGTTCCAAGAGGCACCAAGAGACCCCAGGCGCCCAACAAGAGCCTCCAAGAGAGGCTGCTAGACGATCCAAGAGAGGCCCAGACAATCAAGATGGTCAAAGCAAAAACATACAGGTGTTCTGAGTTTCTGCCTGCTTGGCTTCTCGGCTCAACATGGTATGGTATCTAGATGGCTTTAGGGAGCTCCAAGACTGCCCCACAGGGCCTCAAACCCTGATGCCGCAGGACGGCTCACGACAGCCTTCGGGGAAGCCCAACACAGCCAAAGAAGGCCCACGACAGCGATCAAATAGCCGAGAGAGCCCCACAAAGGCCCCTGACCTTTCGGGACGGCTCAAGAGGGTCCAAGGTACCCCCCAAAGACCACTGCAATTCTCTAAGAGGCCCACCAAAAAATCCCGACATGTTCCAAAATGCGTTGAGAATCGAAGGAGCCGGGCGATTTGAGCGCTGTCGCCTTCCCGGTCTTCTAACGAGCGTCCACGACGGCCCAAGATGCCGCCAAGACTGCTGCAAGATTGCCCCCGAGCCCCCTCAACGAATCCAAGATGGGATCTCCCCGAAGGCATGTGTGTTAGTATGACTGGGCATGGCTCGAAAGCGAGAGAGCCTCTCGCGAGCGCTCTCTAACCCCCGGCCTGACCACCACTCGCCCCAAGGCTGCCAAGCCGGGGCATTGACACTCAGCCGCGGTGAGGCACCTCGCGGCGCCGAGCACCCCCGCAGCAAACCGCTGGCGAGGATCCCCGAGGTGAAGGGAACCAAGCTCGGGAGCGGCCAAGAGGGGGGGGTCCAAGAGGGGGGGGTGCAAAATCATGACCGGCGGCATGTGCGCGGCCCAGCGGGGGGGCCAGGGACGTAATGAAATAAGAAGAGGCGCCATGAAATCTTGGGAAATATCATGACCCCCGCCATGATATCCCCCCCCCCCCCTAGTCGTCACCCCTCTCTTTGCCGCCCCCGACAAACGGCAGCTCGGACCTCTCCCGGGATGCGTTCTGACCAAGAATCTCGAGGGCCGCCTTGCCGTGGCGACGCGAGCCCTCCAGGATGAGCAGAGGTATACCGAGACCGCTGCTCTCCTCACCTCTCCCGGGGTGCGCTCTGCCCATCGCCTCGAGGATACTCGGGCCATGGCGGCGAGAGCCCTCCACGATGCGCACACTTATGCCGAGGCCGCTACTCCCCAGACCTCTCCTGGGGTACCTTTGGACCAGAACCTCGAGACTTCGGCCGTTTTGCGGCGAGACGAGCTCTCCAGGGCCATGCGCAGCGGCATCAGCATCTCCGTGCCCTCCCAGAGTGCGAGCGCTGAAAGATAGCACTCCAAACCCATAGACCGCTCTGGACTGCCTCGAACACCGACTGGAAGTATTTAGGCAAGCGCGTTTCACTACTTGCAAAGTCACTACTCGCAAATGGCCTGGATCCGACGCGGGGGATCTACGATAATTCTGACGCTTGCGAGTAGGAACTTCACAAGCAGTGGAACGCGCTCGGTGAGTGTTGGCCCTCCTAGGAAGCTCGGGGCTCTTCCTCCTCTGACGAGGCTTCGGCGCGCCTGGGCGGCGGCCACGCCGCCCTGGAGCCACAGCAGGCAGGCGGGGTCCCGCCTCGCCTCGTAGGCCCCCGACGGCGCGGCCCCGAACGCGGCCAGGATGCCGGCCGAGCTGAGGCCCGCGTGGCGGCCTCCCGGCGGCCCGGCCGCCGGCGCCGCCTGGGGGCCCCTCGCTCGGGGGAACGGGGAAGGGGGGAGAGGGGGGGGGGGGAGGGAGGACGAGGGCAGGGGGAGGGAGGAGGAGGAGGGGGAGGAGGGAGGAGGAGGAGGAGGAGGAGGAGGAGGAGGAGGAGGAGGAGGAGGAGGAGGAGGAGGAGGATGCGCGGCGACGGAACGCGCGTGGCCTCGAGGCCCCAGGCGACCTCACCGCGCGGTGCGTCACCGCACGGCCATCGGACCCTGGAGGCCCCATCCCCCGAGTCCTCCCTCCTCCTCCTCCTCCTCCTCCTCCTCCCCCTCCTCCTCCTCCTCCTCCTCCTCCTCCTCCTCCTCCTCCTCCTCCTCCTCCTCCTCCTCCTCCTCCTCCTCCTCCTCCCTCCTCCTCCCCCTCCTCCTCCCTCCTCCTCCCTCCTCCTCCTCCTCCTCCTCCTCCTCCTCCTCCTCCTCCTCCTCCTCCTCCTCCTCCTCCTCCTCCTCCTCCTCCTCCTCCTCCTCTCCTCCTCCTCCTCCTCCTCCTCCTCCTCCTCCTCCTCCTCCTCCTCCTCCTCCCTCCTCCTCCTCCTCCCTCCTCCTCCTCCTCCTCCTCCATCCTCCTCCTGCCTCCTCCTCCTCCTCCCTCCTCCTCCTCCTCCTCCTCCTCCTCCTCCTCCTCCTCCTCCTCCTCCTCCTCCTCCTCCTCCTCCTCCTCCTCCTCCTCCTCCTCCTCCTCCTCCTCCTCCTCCTCCTCCTCCTCCTCCTCCTCCTCACTCCTCTCCTCCTCCTCCTCCTCCTCCTCCTCCTCCTCCTCCTCCCCCCCCCGCACCGACTCACCACGCGGGGCGGTCACCACGCAGTTTCGGGGCCCCCCGGCCGCCCTCGGGAACTCGAGGCCCGCCGGCCCGACGGCCCTGCAGCCCTCCAGGCTGCAGAGGGCCGCCAGGCGGTCGAAGGCGGCGTCGTCCGCGTCCGCCGCCGAGCAGGCGGGGATGCCGAAGGCGGCGTAGACCCGGCGCCCCGCCGACGTCCCCTCCTGTGGGCCCAGACTCGCTCGGGCCGTGCCAAAGATCACTGCGGGAGGTATTCGGCCGTCTTCGGCCTCCCTGGGGCTCTGTAGCGAACGAATCAAGACATCGCATGTGCGGGTCTGGGGCCTGGGGCTCGTCTGCCTCGGCGCGCCCCCCACTTGTTCCCTCGGGGTGCTCCGACAGTCGGGACAAAACGCCAAAGATTGGGCAGCTGTCGGCTTCTGGGGTCTGGGTGGGGTTTGTCCCGACGCGGCCGCCTCTACAGACAGGGAAAACCCCACTGGCGGCAAGCCGGCGCACACACGCACACACATACACACAGACACACACACACACACACACAGAGGCACTTTTTGCGTCGGCGGCTAAGCAGAGTGACTGCGCTGGCGATGAAGCGTGACACACGCAGACATACAGACGCGGACACACAGACACACAGACACACAGACACACAGACACACACACACACACAGAAACACACGCACACACACACACACACTCGCACACCCCCCACCCACACACACGCACACACACACACGCGTACAAACAAACAGACAGACAGACAGACAGACAGACAGACAGACAGACAGGCAGGCAGGCAGACAGACACACCACACGCACACCACGCAGCACGAACACACACACACACACACGCACGCACGCACGCACGCACGCACGCACGCACGCACGCACGCACCCACGCACCCACGCACCCACGCACGCATCCACGCCCCCACGCCCCCCCCCCACCACACACACACACACAATCACACACACACACACGCACCCACACGCCCCCCCCCACCACACACACACCACAACACAACACAACACAACACAACACGACACGACACGACACGACACAACACAACACGCACATAACACAACACAACACAACACGACACGACACGACACGACACGACACGACACGACACGACACGACACGACACGACACGACACGACACGACACGACACGACACGACACGACACGACACAACACAACACAACACAACACACACACACGCGCTTTGTTGCGTCGCGGCCCCCCGCGCAGCGACAGGGCGTGGCCAGGTCGAAGACACGGTCGCGCGCGCGCGCGTCTAAAGGCCGAGCCCTGAAGCCGCTTGGAACAAGCAGCGCCAGCAGCAGGCGACAAATCATCCCGGCACGGATGACGGGGCAGGTCCGAAGACGTGGGCAGCTGACCGACAGGCACGGACACGGCATGACCGAGGAGAAGGGAAGAGGGGGCGCAGCCGTGAGGAAGCCACAGCGATGCCACGGCCAGACGACTGGCAGAAGGGCGCGACGAGGACAGGGTGGCCGAAGGCGAGCAGTGGCGGCGCGGACGCCGCAGAGGCCTCGCCCGAGGAGGGAGCAGCGCCGGCAGGCCCGTGGGGGCGCGAGAAACGTGGCCAGGGGGGGGGCGGCAGGGCCCGCCGAGGCCCCGCGGGGAGGTCCTCCGCCCGGGGCCCCGCGGAGGAGCCAGCGCACCCGCCCAAGGAGACAGGACAGGGAGGGAAAGCGGCAGGGAAGAAGAGGCGGACCAGACACACACACACAACACAACACAGCACGACACAACACAACACAAGACAGCACGGCACAACACAGCACAGCACAGCACAACGCAACGCAACGCAACACAACTCCACGCAACACAACACACAGACACAGACACAGACACCAGACTCAAACACAGGCACAGACACAGACACGGAAGCAGACACAGACACAGACACAGACACAGACACAGACACACACAGACACATTCACGCACACACGCGCACGTCCATGTCCAGATCCAGGTCCCGATCCAGGCGAGGCTCATCGAAAGGAGAACACGGGCGGAGTGAGTGCTACGCCACGCCTTGACCCACCATGGCTCGCGCCCCCGAACCGACGCTTTCAGCCCTGTGAGGCTGGGGCTCAGCCTGCAGGAGAGGCCCTGGCTGAGGGGATGGGCCCGCGCTCCTGCAGGACCTCGGCCCAGACCAGCTCGAACACCTCGCAGGGAGCCGGCCCCCCCCGTGCTGGCCCCGCCAGCGCCGAGCTCCTCCGCTCGGCCATGCGCAGACCCAAGTGAGGCTTACGTCTCGCGTGGCTGGCCATCGCTCGGACGCCCATTCCCTGCGCTTTCTTCGACTTCGTGCGTGGTTTTGTTCGCCAAATGGTCAGGGATGCGTCTCGAGGGTCCTCGCCGAAGGAAACACGCACACGCCCGAGCGACGCCAAGGTGGAGCACGCGGGCCCGCACGCGGCGGCGCTTCCGAGCGCTGTGTGTGCGGCGAGGCTGCCGCACGCTTCGAGAGACCCGAGGGCAGGGGCCCCGGTCGCTCCTGCAGGATCTCGGCCCAGGCCAGCTCGGACCTCCCGCCGGGCGTCGCCCCCTCCCCCGTGCTGCCGCCGCCGCCGCCGAGCTCCTCTGACTACCTACCAGACCACCCCAACCCAACCCGAAGACCCGAACTTCGGGTTGGGGGGGGATAAGGGTTCCACGTGTGTTTTTTCTCGATGTTGCCCGTCCCCCCCCCACTGGAAATCGAGGGTAAATCTGAGCCTTCGGGTTGGGTTGGGGTGGTTTGGTGGGTGGTGATCCTCCGCGCGGCGGATCAGCGTCACGTCCCAGGCAGACACGCAGCCCCGGAAGCGGCGCGGGTACTCGTGCTCGTCGCAGAAGTGGCGGAAGCTGACCTGGCAGGGGGGAACAGCAGACGGCATCATCACACACTGTCGCATGCCCGCGCGGATGTTATTTGGATCGGCGCTGGGGCCCCTTCCCTGCAGATCGCACCAGGGGGCGGCCCAAGCGCCGATCCAAGACATCCGCGCGGAGCTCCGAGAGTTTATGTTCGTCCCGCCATTCCCTTCTCTGATGACCTCCAGGCCCTGCTGGCGCCTGGCCCGCGCGCGCTTGTCCCAGACCAGGGCGGTGTGGTCCGAGTGCGTCTTGGCGTAGCTCTCTTCCGCGAGCAGCACCGCCTCCAGCTGGCACAGCGCATCGAAGAGTGGGGGCTCCTCCCGATCGCGCGGCGACGATGGCACGGGCGGGCCCGCAGATTTCTCCGCGCACTGGCCATGTCTCTTGGACCTGTCCTTCAGGACAAACTTCTCCCAAGCGCCAGCCTGCTGGCGATTCGCCAGCAGGCCGCCACCTTTCCGGACGCCCGAAGTCAGAGCCGAAAAAGCGGGAAATGCTGTCCAGCATCGACAGCAGCCGCTGTCGGGCAGGCGACATGCTGTCTCAAGTGGACAACATCCGCGGCGACACCGACAGCGAGTCCCACTCAAAATGGACAGGGCTGTTGTCGGTCTTCGCCCCCATGCTTTCCGTACCCACTTCGATCGTACCGGGCCTTTGCCCAGGGCGCACACGTATCCAGCACCCCGGCGCAAGCTTCGCAGGGAGACGGAGCCGTCGTCGTGGTGGGACAACTCAAAACGCGCGCCGTCGTCCACGCAGGCGCTCTTCGCGCTGACTTCGCCGTGCCCGCCGACCGAGACGAACTTGCCGTGCACGCTCCTGAGGGAGAAGCTGCCGTCGGGGTGGTGCGAGACCTCGAACTTCTCGGCGTCCTTCACCTGGGCCGCACCGGGACTGTGTGCAGGAGCCGATCCGGGCTGGGGCCCTCTGGAGCCCGGGGTGGGCCTGGCCAGGATCGGCGCACGCGCATATACTTAAGTCGGGCGTGTCCCCCTACCAGAGGATTTTCGACGAAACATGATGGACCCACGAACCCGGAAAGGGATATAGAACCGCATGCATGGAAACGTTTTCACGACACCGTATTGGGCGACGGGCACTTCCACGAGACACACCGCGAAACATTCCACGAGACACGGGCGACCGTTTTCAACGTTTTCCTAAGGCAAATCTGTAGGCACATACGTAAAAACACACGGATTCGCGTCCCTGGAGAAATCAACTCTATACGCACATATGTAAAAGCACATGGATTCGTGCACCTCGAGAAGGCAAATCTACAGGCACATATGTAAAAACACACGGGTTCGTGCACCTAGAGAAGGCAAATTTCTGGGGCGCCCAGATCCCTCAAGTTCTACAAAACAAGCGATTCGCTCGAGACATCCTCGGTAACTCTGCGGAGCAAGCGTTTCGCTCGAGACATCGTCAACACACGAAAGAGTGGCCCGCACCCTGTGATTTATCGATCGGGATTTCAAAAACACGCGTTTCGCTCGAGACATCCTCGCAATTTAATCCGCCAGCCAACCTCGACCTCGATATTTATCAGGGAAGGAATCCGCCGGCCCACCTCAGTTGAGGCACCGGGGACAAGTTTACCAACACAACGAGAACCCTGGGCCGGCGCCCTTTCCGGGGGAAAGAATACCCAAAAAATAATTCAAAAAAATCCTAAAATAATCAGGGGACTTTTTGAGTATTTTTTATCTTTCTGGAGTATTTTTGAATATTTCTATTTTTCGTCGAAGGTCCCCCTGTAGGGGGACACGCCCGACTTAAGCATACACCGTCAGGGACTTTGGCTCAGCGTGTCGCGGCGGCGGCCCTGGCGACCTGCCATGCCGTGCAGGCGGATAGGCTGTCGCTCTGCTCTGCGGGGCTCCAGACGTCGAGGATACGAGGAGGAGGAGGGGGGGGAGGGGGAGGAGGAGGAGGAGGAGGGGGAGGAGGGGGAGGAGGAGTGGAGGAGGAGGAGGAGGAGGAGGAGGAGGAGGAGGAGGAGGCGGAGGAGGAGGAGGGGAGGAGGAGGAGGAGGAGGAGAGGAGGAGGAGGAGGAGGAGGGGAGGAGGAGGGGGAGGAGGCCGGGAGAGGCTCGGGACGCTCACGCGTTGGGGGCTCCGACGTGGTCCGCGTGCAGCGCCGAGGCGTGGTGGGCCAGGACCGGCGGCGCAGGATATCCCTATAGTTTCCTCGTATTTTCGGGTTTTTCGTCTTCCCTCCACTTCCCATATGTTCGTTTTTTTTTCCTGGGGATCGGGGATTGTTTGTATCGGTGTGTGCTTTTCCCTCCTGATTCCCGACCGCAGGACTTTCTGGACGCCCGAAATGGGTACGGAAAGAACGGGTACAATGCCCAACAACAAATGTTGTCCCAGACCAACAGCGGCCGCTGTTGGGCAGGCGCGGACAGCGAGTCCTGTTCAAAATGACGAGGAGCTGCTGTTGGACATTGTACCCATTCTTTCCGTACCCATTTCGGGCGTCCAGAGTCTTCTCCAGAGAAACAAGCCAGCTGCACAGACACGATCCCTTTCTCGGAGGCCCGCGCGGTCTTCGTCGATCGGCGCTGGGCCCCCATTCTCCTGCGGAGTGCACCCAGGAGGCGGCGTCGGAGGCGCCGCCTCTGCGGCAGCCCGGCGCGGATCCAGGAAGCCCGCGCGGACCTCCGAGAACATTTGTTTACGGTTAAGTCGGGCGTGTCCCCCTACAGGGGGATTTTCGACGAAAATAAAAAATACCCCAAACATACACCAAAAAGGTCAAAACATAGTCAACAAAAATCCCCAGGCAATTTTTGGACTATTTTTTGATGTTTGTTGGGTATTTTCTATTTTTCGTCGACAATCCCCCAGGGGGACACGCCCGATTTCAGTTTACGGTGAGGGCATGACAGGATACGGAGCCATTGGAGAAGGAGTCCACGGTCTGGAAGCTGGTGCAACACCAATCGAGGCCCGGCCGTGGACACCACCGCCGCCCTCATCAGACAGGGAAAGCAATCCACCAGGGTCCCACACCCCTCTGGAACACTCCCTCGCTGCCTTCACAGACGCCCCCACCCCTATGTTCCTGCGGTCTTCTGATCCTGGGTTCTCCCGGCCCCATCACCACGGAGCTGGTCGCCTTCAGCTCGCCGTCGGGCTCGGCGCGGAGGTGTCGGCCGTGGTGGGCCTTCAGCGCCACGGCGCTGATGGCCCGCCACTCCGCCTGCGCACCGCCGCCCCCCGCGGGCCTCTCTCCCGTCGGCCTCCTCTGCGAGCGGGCGGCCCCCAGGGCAGCGGGCTCCTGGCGGCCCTCCTCCTCCTCGGAGGCTGCCCAGCACCCCAGCGGGCTCGCGTCGTGACGACGTCGGCGTTGGTGCCCAGACATGGACGCGCCGTGAAGAAATCGCGACGTGAGGTGTTTCTTCGCCCTCTTCGGCCTCCTGGAAGTTGGCCGATGCGGACTCATGGTCGCTGGCGGCGCTCGAACTTGAACGCCCGCGGCGGGGTCGCCGCCGCGTCGACACGACACGAACCTGCCGGACACAAGGGATTGGGCCTCGCCGGGCCAATCCTGGGCTCGGGGTCGGCGTGCAGTCGTTCTTTGGGCAACCGTCGGGGCCAATAGCCGACCGCGACCCCTGGCCCAGGAGAAACCATGCATGGGTGCGGGTGCGTACACCCACGCCCTTGGATACGAAAGCCTTGGCTGGCGAGATTGAGCCACGGGCTTGGCATGCATCTGCATCCGCAGGCTCGGGAAGCAGGCGAAGCCTCAGAAGCCGACGAGGGCCGACACGAGCTCGCCACGCTCGCATCCAGGGCCGCGGGCGCGGTTTGTCGCCCCCGTGGGCCTCCTCGTCCTCCTCCGGGCAGGACCCCCTCTTGCCTCTCCGCCTCCTGCGGGCGGCCGGGAGGTCGCCCCGACGAAGTGGCGCCCCGATGCTTCTCTGCATCGGGTGTGCGTTCACGGAGGGGGCATACAGTGGATGCTAGTCCACAAGAGTCCTTCCACAAGAACCCCAACCATGAGACCCCAGGACGTGCACCCATTCTTGGCGTGGGAGCGTCACGCTTTCCACCGCAGAACCATCGAAGCCCAAGGCGACCCAGGGCACCCTGGAGGCAAGCAGGGTGTCTCTTCGCATGGGTCTCCCCTGTAAGATGCGGGGGCTCCAGGAAGGCGCGTACACCCTCCGTTCACCGTCTGGGCCCTCGGCGGCAGTTTGGTAGCCAGCTGGGGCCGCTTCGGAGCCACCTTCGGGGTTCCTGCAACCCTCGACCCCCCCACGTTTGCTCGATCATCATCACCACCACCATCATTATTACCAGCATCAGCATTAGCATCAGCATCAGCATCAGCGTCACCATCATCATTATCATCATCACCATCAGCATCAGCATCAGCATCAGCATCAGCATCAACATCAGCATCATCATCAGCATCATCATCATCATCATCATCATCATCACCTCCGTGGCCGTCCGCGAGGGCTTCTTCGCTTCCAGACCTGCACCCCCTCGGGGGGCGTCCAGGAGGGGGGCGTCCAGGAGGGGGCCCGCAGCTCGTCACCCGAGGCACGCGCGCGGACCAGGGGGGGGGGGGCAGGGGCCGCACTGGAAGAAGGAGGGGGGGCCACGACGTGCAGGGCGATGTCACGACCAATGGCACGAGATCCCCCCCCCTTTTAGTCCTCCCCCCCTCTTCTGGGCCGCCCCGCGCCCTCCCCGCCCAGATCGCCACCTCCAGGCGCCGGCCCCCCTTAGTCAGCCCCTCCACTTCGTGGCCGCCCCAGGCCCTCCCCGCCCAGATTGCCACCTCCAGGCGCCGCCGGATGGCCCTGAGATCCGACGGCGCGAGCAAACTGCAAAAGCGCGAAAAATCACGACAGGAACCCTTGGAGCACATCTTTCTGCGGTGTTCTTCGAGCCTGATTGATATGTGATGGCCCCGGGGACCGAAACTGGGCAAAAACGCCCTGTGTGAAACATGATGGACCCACGAACCCGGAAAGGGATATAGACATGTGGAGCATGGACACGTTTTCATGATACCCAACTGGGCAACACCTCACGAAACATCCCACGAGACACCTCACGAAACAGCCCACGAGACACCTCACGAAACATTCCACGAGACACCTCACGAAACATTTCACGAGACACCCCGCGAAACATTCCACGAGACACCCCACGAAACATTCCACGACGACAGGCAGGCACCACTCAACCAAGGCGGTGTGGTCGTGCTGGGGAGTGGTCGTGCTGGGGTGTGGTCGTGCTGGGGGGTGGTCGTGCTGGGGGGTGGTCGTGCTGGGGGGGTGGTCGTGCTGGGGGGTGGTCGTGCTGGGGCGTGGTCGTGCTGGGGCGTGGTCGTGCTGGGGCGTGGTCGTGCTGGGGCGTGGTCGTGCTGGGGTGTGGTCGTGCTGTGGTAAGGTCGTGCTGGGGTGCGGTCGTGCTGGGGTGTGGTCTTGCTGGGGTGGGGTCGTGCTGGGGTGTGATCGTGCTGGGGTGGGGTCGTGCTGGGGTGTGGTCGTGCTGGGGTGTGGTCGTGCTAGGGTGGGGTCGTGCTGGGGTGGGGTCGTGCTGGGGAGTGGTCGTGCTGGGGTGTGGTCGTGCTGGGGTGTGGTCATGCTGGGGCGTGGTCGTGCTGGGGTGGGGTCGTGCTGGGGTGGGGTCGTGCTGGGGTGGGTTCGTGCTGGGGTGCTCCGCACCCTGTGATTTATCGATCGGGTCGTGCTGGGGTGTGGTCGTGCTGGGGTGTGGTCGTGCTGGGGTGTGGTGCTGGGGTGTGGTCGTGCTGGGGTGTGGTCGTGCTGGGGAGTGGTCGTGCTGGGGTGTGGTCGTGCTGGGGGGTGGTCGTGCTCGGGGGTGGTCGTGCTGGGGGGGTGGTCGTGCTGGGGGGTGGTCGTGCTGGGGCGTGGTCGTGCTGGGGCGTGGTCGTGCTGGGGCGTGGTCGTGCTGGGGTGTGGTCGTGCTGTGGTGAGGTCGTGCTGGGGTGTGGTCGTGCTGGGGTGTGGTCTTGCTGGGGTAGGGTCGTGCTGGGGTCGGGTCGTGCTGGGGTGTGGTCGTGCTGGGGTATGGTCGTGCTGGGGTGGGGTCGTGCTGGGGTGGGGTCGTGCTGGGGTCTGGTCGTGCTGGGGTGTGGTCGTGCTGGGGTATGGTCGTGCTAGGGTGGGGTCGTGCATTTCGCTCGAGACATCCTGCCAAAATTCCAGGAAATCGTACAAAAACAAACGAATTAGTCGAGACATCATCGAAATTCCTTCGCGCGGGGCGCTTTTCCGCGTCGCGGTCGGCTCTGCAAAACAAGCGTTTCGCTCGAGACATCCTCGGCAAACTCTGCGGAGCAAGCGTTTCGCTCGAGACATCCTCAACACACGAAAAAGTGGCCCGCACCCTGTGATTTATCGATCGGGATTTCAAAAACAAGCGTTTCGCTCGAGACATCCTCAAATTTTAATCCGCCGGCCTCCTTCGACCTCGATATTTATCAGGGAAAAAATCCGCCGGCCTCCTTCAAGTTGGCACCGGGGGACAGGTTTACCTACTAAAAGAGAACCCTGGGCCGGCGCCCTTTCCGGGAAAAGGAGCCGCTGTTCTTTGTAAGTCTGGCGAGTGGACTTGTATAGAGGGGGAGGGGAGGGGCATGCCGAGGACCGAAAGGAAATCTGAACTCCACGCACGTCGAAACTAACTTGCAAGCCATTTCGGCCCAGGGCTGTTTGAAAAGGTGGCGGAGGGAGGGAACGCTATGCAAGTAAACTTGCCACAGTCGAGCAAGGACACAGAATTTCAACGCCCCCCAGTGGCCTCAGGTGGAGCTATCTATGGGGCCACGAAACGTGTGGGGGGGTGCGCCGAAACGGGGGAAACGATCACACATGGACCCTGCCACTGGGGCCGTGGCCACGAAACGTGTGAATGGTGTGCTGACATTGGTGGCCGAGAGCCGATGTTGAGGAGGATGATGATGATGATGGTGACGATGACTGTGGTGGTGGTGATGATGCTGACGACCATGCAGACGATAGTGATGCTGTTGACGATGATGATGCTGACGATGATGATGTGGACGGTGATGATGATGACGATGACGATGATGATGCTGATGGCGATGTTGACGCTGACGATGATGGCGATGAGGATGTGCAGAGAATAGAAGCACATATGGGAGGAGAGGGGGAGGGAGAAAGGGGCAGCGGGCGGTGGGAATGAGAAGTGGGACGCAGGGCTTTGTTTTTCCTAAATCGAAGACCGAACACAACAGGATGGTTGGGAATAAATGATACGATGCTCGACACCAGCTGTTGTCCACAAGGGGCAGCGGCCGCTGAGGAGCATGCTACCTGTTGCCCCAAGCTTACAGAGCCCACGGCAACACCAGCAGAGAATCCTGCCCCAAGTGGACAAGAAATGCTTTCAGTCTTCGTCACCATCCTTTTCGTGCAAAGTTCTGGCATCTAGAATGTTAGCCAGCGTGAACCCCACCCCGACCATTGTGTTTCTAGCAGCCCATGCTGTGCAACCTATACGGAACAATATTCGTGGCGCAATCCACGTGGACATTTTACGTAGTGCAATGGATATCTGCAAACATCCCACCCATCCACCCTCAATTTTGTTTGCAAAGCCCATGCGGTGGCGATTGCGATGACTGCTTGGCGTTGGCTGGTGCATCTCTGCGGCCGCGCCAGCCCAAGCACGCGCGCGCAGCGGTCAGCTACTTTGGCGCGACCGGCGCCGCCGCGGTGGCGCTGACCGCTGGGCACATCCCAGCGGACACTTCGCTGCGAGTCGGCGACTTGGGCGGGCGCGGTATCATGGCAACGTCGACAACGGTAAACACGATGATGATAGTAGCGATGCTGGTGGCGATGTTGACCTCGACGGCGGCGCGGCCAGTGAAGGCGCGGGTGCTGATCATGCCGACGACGATGACGGCGTCTTCGCGTCGGTGATGAAGGTTGTGTAGCATAGTTCGGCATGCGCGCGCGGCCGACGCGCGAGAGCGGCCCGCATGGTATCATTGGACACGGATCATACCCCCCAACGCGCGCGCAAGGGTGGGCGAATGATTTCGGCATGCGGCGCCAGAGGCTTGTGCGGCAGAATTCCATGACTATATATATGTGTGTATACATATATATATATGATATAATATAAAAGTGTGGTTTTCTTCAAAACGACGCCATGTGTTTGTGTGTGCTGTGTGGATACTCGGTTTTGAAGTCGCTAAGAAACCTAATGTTTTGACGGATGTCGGCGTGCGCGGGCGACGACGCGCGCGCTTGCACTTCTTTTAGTGTTTTTCAGAATGGGTGCTCGCGACAAGGGCGTTCGAACGATTTCGACATGCGCGCGCGAAGGCCTTTTGGTAGAATTCCACACAATGTTGAACAACCCGTGGTTTTCCCAAGAAGCTGCAAGAGCGCGTGCAGGGTTTTTTTGTAATAAAAAACCGCGTTGCGAAACCATGTGCTTTTACATGTTTCCCCCCCCCCGATTTGAATTTTTTTTGTTTGAAAAGTTTCGGCATGCGCCCGCGACGACGCGCGCGTGTGCACTTCGTATCACCTGTTACAAACGATGCTTGAAAACTGATGTTTTTTATAAACGGGTGCGCGCGCATACTATGTATTGCAAAAGGTGGCGGGGGTGGGCGGGTATCGTCTCGGTTAGGATGGTACGAGCTCAGATTTAGGATGGGCGATAGGGCTGAATGATATGCGAATTGCAATCAGACAAGGGGCCGGATACTCCCGGGGGGGTAAGGCTTATTCTCTTTCAGCAGAAGAGAACCTATGCGGTGCGATCTATGCAGTGCATTTCACTTGCCGAATTTGAACTTGTCAACTCCACTGCTCGCGCAATCATCCCACCCACCCACCCTCAACTTT